TTTAAATGGCTATATCTCGGCCAAATAAAGCCCGATAGCGGCCAAAAAGGGAGGGGCTACTCGGGGAGGTCCGTAGAATTCGCGAAGATCGACGGCGAAGCTATGTCGCTTTGAAACGTCATATCTCCAAGATTTTTTTAGAGCGGCGGAGCTATGTCGCTTCAAAACGACATAACTCCATAATCACTCGATTTTTTTGGGAAAACTTTAAATGGCTATATCTCGGCCAAATAAAGCCCGATAGCGGCCAAAAACGGAGGGGCTACTCTGGGAGGTCCGTAGAATTCGCCAAGATCGACGGCGAAGTTATGTCGCTTTGAAACGTCATATCTCCAAGATTTTTTTAGAGCGGCGGAGATATGACGTTTCAAAGCGACATAACTTCGCCGTTGATCATGGCGAGATTATGTCGTGAATATCGTGTCCACAACACTCAATTTTTTTGGGAAAACTTTAAATGGCTATATCTCGGCCAAATAAAGCCCGATAGCGGCCAAAAAGGGAGGGGCTACTCGGGGAGGGTCGTAGAATCCGCCAAGATCGACGGCGAAGTTATGTCGCTTTGAAACGTCATATCTCCAAGATTTTTTTAGAGCGGCGGAGATATGACGTTTCAAAGCGACATAACTTCGCCGTTGATCATGGAGAGATTATGTCGTGAATATCGTGTCGACAACCACTCGATTTTTTTGGGAAAACTTTAAATGGCTATATCTCGGCCAAATAAAGCCCGATAGCGGCCAAAAAGGGAGGGGCTACTCTGGGAGGTCCGTAGAATTCGCCAAGATCGACGGCGAAGTTATGTCGCTTTGAAACGTCATATCTCCAAGATTTTTTTAGAGCGGCGGAGATATGACGTTTCAAAGCGACATAACTTCGCCGTTGATCATGGAGAGATTATGTCGTGAATATCGTGTCGACAACCACTCGATTATTTTGGGAAAACTTTAAATGGCTATATCTCGGCCAAATAAAGCCCGATAGCGGCCAAAAAGGGAGGGGGTACTCGGGGAGGTCCGTAGAATCCGCCAAGATCTAAAAAAGTCTTGGAGATATGACGTTTCAAAGCGACATAACTTCGCCGTTGATCATGGCGAGATTATGTCGTGAATATCGTGTCCACAACCACTCGATTTTTTTGGGAAAACTTTAAATGGCTATATCTCGGCCAAATAAAGCCCGATAGCGGCCAAAAAAGGAGGGGCTACTCGGGGAGGTCCGTAGAATTTGCCAAGATCGACGGCGAAGTTATGTCGCTTTGAAACGTCATATCTCCAAGATTTTTTTAGAGCGGCGGAGATATGACGTTTCAAAGCGACATAACTTCGCCGTTGATCATGGAGAGATTATGTCGTGAATATCGTGTCGACAACCACTCGATTATTTTGGGAAAACTTTAAATGGCTATATCTCGGCCAAATAAAGCCCGATAGCGGCCAAAAAGGGAGGAGGTACTCGGGGAGGTCCGTAGAATCCGCCAAGATCGACGGCGAAGTTATGTCGCTTTGAAACGTCATATCTCCAAGATTTTTTTAGAGCGGCGGAGATATGACGTTTCAAAGCGACATAACTTCGCCGTTGATCATGGCGAGATTATGTCGTGAATATCGTGTCCACAACACTCAATTTTTTTGGGAAAACTTTAAATGGCTATATCTCGGCCAAATAAAGCCCGATAGCGGCCAAAAAGGGAGGGGCTACTCGGGGAGGTCCGTAGAATTCGCGAAGATCGACGGCGAAGCTATGTCGCTTTGAAACGTCATATCTCCAAGATTTTTTTACAGCGGCGGAGCTATGTCGCTTCAAAACGACATAACTCCATAATCACTCGATTTTTTTGGGAAAACTTTAAATGGCTATATCTCGGCCAAATAAAGCCCGATAGCGGCCAAAAACGGAGGGGCTACTCTGGGAGGTCCGTAGAATTCGCCAAGATCGACGGCGAAGTTATGTCGCTTTGAAACGTCATATCTCCAAGATTTTTTTAGAGCGGCGGAGATATGACGTTTCAAAGCGACATAACTTCGCCGTTGATCATGGCGAGATTATGTCGTGAATATCGTGTCCACAACCACTCGATTTTTTTGGGAAAACTTTAAATGGCTATATCTCGGCCAAATAAAGCCCGATAGCGGCCAAAAAGGGAGGGGCGACTCGGGGAGGTCCGTAGAATTCGCCAAGATCGACGGCGAAGTTATGTCGCTTTGAAACGTCATATCTCCAAGATTTTTTTAGAGCGGCGGAGATATGACGTTTCAAAGCGACATAACTTCGCCGTTGATCATGGCGAGATTATGTCGTGAATATCGTGTCCACAACCACTCGATTTTTTTGGGAAAACTTTAAATGGCTATATCTCGACCAAATAAAGCCCGATAGCGGCCAAAAAGGGAGGGGCTACTCGGGGAGGTCCGTAGAATTCGCCAAGATCGACGGCGAAGTTATGTCGCTTTGAAACGTCATATCTCCAAGATTTTTTTAGAGCGGCGGAGATATGACGTTTCAAAGCGACATAACTTCGCCGTTGATCATGGCGAGATTATGTCGTGAATATCGTGTCCACAACCACTCGATTTTTTTGGGAAAACTTTAAATGGCTATATCTCGGCCAAATAAAGCCCGATAGCGGCCAAAAAAGGAGGGGCTACTCGGGGAGGTCCGTAGAATTTGCCAAGATCGACGGCGAAGTTATGTCGCTTTGAAACGTCATATCTCCAAGATTTTTTTAGAGCGGCGGAGATATGACGTTTCAAAGCGACATAACTTCGCCGTTGATCATGGAGAGATTATGTCGTGAATATCGTGTCGACAACCACTCGATTATTTTGGGAAAACTTTAAATGGCTATATCTCGGCCAAATAAAGCCCGATAGCGGCCAAAAAGGGAGGGGGTACTCGGGGAGGTCCATAGAATCCACCAAGATCGACGGCGAGGTTATGTCGCTTTGAAACGTCATATCTCCAAGATTTTTTTAGAGCGGCGGAGATATGACGTTTCAAAGCGACATAACTTCGCCGTTGATCATGGCGAGATTACGTCGTGAATATCGTGTCCACAACCACTCGATTTTTTGGGAAAACTTTAAATGGCTATATCTCGGCCAAATAAAGCCCGATAGCGGCCAAAAAGGGAGGGGCTACTCGGGGAGGTCCGTAGAATTCGCCAAGATCGACGGCGAAGTTATGTCGCTATGAAACGTCATATCTCCAAGCTTTTTTAGAGCGGCGGAGCTATGTCGCTTCAAAACGACATAACTCCATAACCACTCGATTTTTTTGGGAAAACTTTAAATGGCTATATCTCGGCCAAATAAAGCCCGATAGCGGCCAAAAAGGGAGGGGCTACTCCGGGAGGTCCATAGAATCCACCAAGATCGACGGCGAGGTTATGTCGCTTTGAAACGTCATATCTCCAAGATTTTTTTAGAGCGGCGGAGATATGACGTTTCAAAGCGACATAACTTTGCCGTTGATCATGGCGAGATTACGTCGTGAATATCGTGTCCACAACCACTCGATTTTTTGGGAAAACTTTAAATGGCTATATCTCGGCCAAATAAAGCCCGATAGCGGCCAAAAAGGGAGGGGCTACTCGGGGAGGTCCGTAGAATTCGCCAAGATCGACGGCGAAGTTATGTCGCTTTGAAACGTCATATCTCCAAGCTTTTTTAGAGCGGCGGAGCTATGTCGCTTCAAAACGACATAACTCCATAACCACTCGATTTTTTTGGGAAAACTTTAAATGGCTATATCTCGGCCAAATAAAGCCCGATAGCGGCCAAAAAGGGAGGGGCTACTCGGGGAGGTCCGTAGAATCCGCCAAGATCGACGGCGAAGTTATGTCGCTTTGAAACGTCATATCTCCAAGATTTTTTTAGAGCGGCGGAGATATGACGTTTCAAAGCGACATAACTTCGCCGTTGATCATGGCGAGATTATGTCGTGAATATCGTGTCCACAACACTCAATTATTTTGGGAAAACTTTAAATGGCTATATCTCGACCAAATAAAGCCCGAAAGCAGCTAAAAAGGGAAGGGTTACTCGGGGAGGTCCATAGAATCCGCCAAGATCGACGGCGAAGTTATGTCGCTTTGAAACCGCCTGAATTTAGCCGAGTTATTTCCATTTTAATATTTTAGCAATGTTGCTGCAATGTGTATATTGTGAATGGTTTATTTTTTTGCGCGGCCTTAACGTATGTAGTAGAAAAACTACGCTAATAAGTTCAAGTGAGTTATGTGGACATCACAAAAGTATGCAATGCTTTGTTTTACTTCTATTTACATGTTTAACGAAAACTTAACTCGGCGAAATAAATCCCGATTGCTGGCTTATTGCGCGCGTTAAACTCATGGAGGAATAGAATAGAATTTTTTTTTGTTTTGTAAAATTTTGATTTTAAATTTTCTGTTATGGGGAAACAACTTAAATTGAATTTATATGAATATTTACAAACTATTTATTCTACTGTAAAGTCTAATAGATAGTATAGAATAGAATATAATAAAGTATTTGAGTAGTATATATAAAGTATGGAAAAGAATGCCAAATATTTTATTTGTTTTTTTATTTTTGAAAATAAACATTTACGAATTTGCGTTAGAATCAGGAGGCCCACTGTGTTTCAGTTTGCGAGTCATCGGCGGCCAAACCCCTTGTCATTACGTGTTGTTTTCTAATCTGTAAATGAATTAAAAAAATATGAAAGGAATATAGGTAAAATATAATTCGTTTGGGTTCTGAATGCCTTTCATTGTTGAGCAGGCGCAGAGAACGTTGTTTGCCTTTTTTCTTTTCAGGCAATTTGTTAAAATTATTAAAAGTGTATTTTTCTTAATTGTCAACGCTGTCTAATAACTCGCACAGATTTATTTGCATTTTAATTACGATTTGTTGGGGCTGCAAATTTATGAGCACAGCCCTTAGCAGGCGGCTAAGTGCTGTGGTTGTTGTCCCTGCCACATCTACAGCTTCATCACTTACTTTTTTATCTTCTGCTTTTTTTGAGGTTGAGTCCTGCTCGCTTTAGTGCTAAGTGGCGCTTTAGTGCCTTTGAATCTGCGGCGACTTGCACCGAACCCGGCGGCATTGAACTGCGCGCAATGCCATAAAATGTAGTGTGCCACTTGTTTGGCTTTTATGGCTTTTCATTAGTTTGCCGCAGTGGCTGTTGCATACAGCAGACGCCGTCTCGCTCGCGCACTTTGTTCCGCTTCCTATCTGTGTTTGTGGCAACTGCGAGGGCGAGTCGTTAGCAGTTGCCACAGTGTTGCCAACGGCGACGATGTCGACTCGAGCTGCCAGCCAAACACCCGCTCCCACGGCTGCTGCTGCTGCTGTTGCTCCTGCTGCGTATTTCATGGTCAACGTGTGCTCGAGCTTTGTGCGGCGATTCCTACTTGTTGTAGCGGGGCATAAAATTTAAATAAATTTCCAATTTGTGTACTTTTGTGCCGCGTCTCACATTGTTGTTGGCTGTCCGCAGCCCCTTTTATCTTGGCCACAAAATGCTTGCCGCTGGTGAAACATATAAGCCTCAACTTGGTTCATTTGTTTTTTGTGGCCATATTTTACATTTCTGAAAAGGCAAAAGAAAAGGGAAATGTTAATTTGGTGTTAACTTTGTGTAATTTATTTATATATATTTTTTTTTTGTTGCTACCCACGTAAATCTATCCCTTTTGCCTGTTGCTGAACGTAGCACGGATACGGCCGACTCTTGGCGCTTCGCGAACTCGGATCTAATACCCGCCACGGGCATTATGGTGTTTGGTAAGTAAGCGCCGCATTATGTGTATAATATATATGTTTACTTATGCAACAGCAGGCACTTCGGCAAGGATAACAGCTAGATGATTGCCAGACACCTAGACAAAAGAAAGAAAGAAAGAAAAACAATTTAATTGCATTTGCCGCTCAATGTCAATTCTAATGCTCACTCACCCTCTCTGTTTCTTTTTTTGCCGTCTCTTTCTGCACTTGGCACAGCTTTCATGTGTCATCACAACACGTTTCTCGTTTATCAATCGATGCGCGAAGCGACCATGGAACGCTGGGAGAAGGTCACCCACATCTCGATTGGATTTGCCTGGACTGTGGCGGCGCTCTTCGGCATTGCGGGCTACTCGACATTCCGCGCCCTCTCGCAGGGTAAACTAATTGACAATTTCGCTCGCATTTAATGGCATTTTCCAGTTACTTCTATTTTATATTATATTTTACAACGCTGTAAATCAGCTTTAATCTGTAGCATTCTTTGCTTTTGGCTTTGCTTTCTGTTTCTTAGTGCTCATGTCTGTGCCCATTTCATTGCAGGCGATTTGCTGGAGAACTATTGCTGGGATGATGACTTAATGAATTTCTCGCGTGTGCTCTTCTCTATATCCATATTACTGACATTTCCCATCGAATGCTTCGTTTCACGTGAGGTATGTCGGGCATTTCACCTCCTTAATACCCTTTATTTCGTTGTTTCGTGTCAATTAAAGCTATTAAAGTCCAAGCTGTTTCCTGCTATAATAGATAAATAATATATTAGGCCAATTGCTCAGGCTAATAATACTTTTTTGAAAAAAGAAATGTCTTAAATGAAAATGAATTGAAAATTTTGTAATACAAACTTAAACATATCTTAATACATTTCACATAAGACATCTGCAGATTGACAGAACCCCATTCGTATCCTTGAGATACTTAGTTTGTTTAATGCTTGGCACTTTATTTTGACCAGCTGCTGCTGTCCATTTGCAGCCGTTTTGGTGAAGTTGCTGCCACACATAGCTTACATTTCGGTTCGTGCTACACAGTTGCATTTTGATAAACTAGCTGTGTTTTCTTTATTTTCATTTTCAATTTCATTTTTTCTGCAACATTGTTGTAGATTGTGCGCGCTCTGGTGCATCGGTTTGTGCTGAAGGAGCCCATCAGCGAGTTTACTCAGGACAAGGATCCCAGCTTGGAGAAGGGCGCCGAAATCGATGAGTATTCGAAGGCGATTACCTTGGCCATTGTGTTCAGCGCCTTCATAATATCGCCCATGACCGACTGCCTGGGCTCCGTTTTGGAATTGAATGTGGGTTGATTTTGATACCGATTTGTACACAACACACACACATACACACACACTCGGCCATAACAAATAACAACTGGCTGGAGCATTGTAATTTCATGTAAATTTTCTCAACAACTTAGGGCCTGCTGGCAGCCATACCCCTGGCCTATATACTGCCCGGCCTGGCCTACATACAAATGGAACCGCATGCCCTCTTCAGCCGGGAGAAGCTGCCCGCCTTGGGCCTGGTCGTATTTGGCGCTGTGGTTACCATACTGGGCGCTGCGGTCCTCCTGCCAGGTCTAATGGGCGACGATTGCCGTTCGGATATTGTGATGGGCTATTGCCGGCAGGAGTTCCAAAATGCCACCACCACCACACAGGTGGTGCTCAACTGAAGAGCCAGCAGCAAAAAGAGGCGGCGGCAGCAGCCAAGCCAAAAGTCATTAGTTAAGTCATAAGCATTGGCAATACATTTGCATTGATGTGGGTTTTACGGGTTGTGGATTCTAGATTGCAGATTACGGATTGTGGATTGCGGATTGCGGGTGGGGTTTACATTTTATTTATTCATTCATTTCTTTTACTGGTCTTGGCTTTTGTACTCCTGCAGATTTGTATTAATGTGATTTTATGGCAGAGTACGTTAAGTATTTATATTCAGATATATTCGTTCATATTTACATAGTCTACTTATAAGTCCACCCGTAGACCAAAGGTTGATTATTCTTGAGAAACCTTTTTTTTATATGTATACAAAACTCAACCAAGTTTTAGATTATATTCTAATTAAAGCTTATTTTTGTTATTTTATTTTATATTAATTATTTGATTATATGATATTCTATTTATATTGCGTATCATATGGATAGGATATAGAAGATATATTATATAAATACGAACTCGTAAGCTTCTATGGAAATGTATGCTAATTCACACAAAAACAAATATTGTTTGTAAACTTGTTCTTTAAAGTTTACTTAATTATATTTGGTTTTGAGTTCAGATTACTGTTAGTAAAATTTCAAAAAATATATATCTGCAAGGGTATTCAGAGCTTTGGCCAGCCGAACTTAGTTTACCTTACTTGTATTTACTTTTGCTTTTATTATGATTATTTATTTATTTCTTTGTTGTAGCTGCACCATTTTTGGTTAAGGGGCAAAACGAATACTTGTACCTGAGTCTCTGATGTTCAAAGTATCTCGAAACTGTGTTGTAGTATCTGCGTGTGTATACGTGTGTGTGTGTTTGTGTGTGTGTCTTGTTAGCTAACTGTGAGGCAAGTGATACGAAGGATTTGAGAAGAAAAATAACAGAAACCTGAATCTCAGTACAAAACAGCAAGTTGTTATAGCATATATTTCCCCAAATGTATGTGCACCCAAAAAAAGTAATCAAACTCTATTTACATATAATATGATTTCGTTTACCAGAGATTTTTGCCAGTTTTTTCATATGTGTGCAGTTGTTTCTTATGTATTTTTTTGATGGGCAGTAAATATATAAACAAACAAAAAATAACAAATTGTAGTGCAAGTTCCTTAGACATGGTCGGTGTAATGCATGCAATTTTTTCGTCGAATAGTTGTTATTGTAATTACAAGTAGCATTAGCGTAGTCTGAATAATATTTGGGCACCAATATACACACAAGACATGCATACAAAGAAGCCAGATCAAGTTGCAAATAATCAAAAAGTAAGAGAAATTAATATATAAAAACAAATAAAACGTATTTGTAACTATCTATTATATACTATATGGCATATAGAGAAACTTATCGAATCGAATCAAATCAAATCATATTTAAACGTTTTATATATATGTATACAACTCTAGAGAATTGCTTCAGCTCCAAAATGTGACTAAGCTTTAACAACATTTGAAATACACAAACAACAAACACAAGAGACATGAAACATGAAACATGATACATGAAACATTTAATATTTTATATTTTGTATTTGACATAGACCTAGATCAACTATTTCGTCTAATATTTTAAATGTGAAACAACAGTTTTAAGTTGTTTTCGAATAGAATGCACTGATATTTTTCGTATTGTGGTATTATTATTATGTATGTACACACTGGTATATTTTTGTACGTATTCCTTTTGAGTTGACAAAATGCACGATATATAGAGTATATATATATATTATGTAAATACATATTTGTATGTTGTAATTTTTGATGTGATTAAATAGATCTTTTTTACCACATATTAAACATGGGAATATTTACACACTACAATGCTCACTCTTCTTCTTACTGGTCTATGGGAACCAAGTGTCTAGTCCGTTTGCGTTTGATCTAAGAACCAAAGACACATCCCCAAACAACTCTATCCTAAGAGCTTAAATACAATACAACATATCATGCAAGGCGAATACAAAACAATGGCCAAAACAATGGAACACACTGGACATATTCAAGGGCTTTTCTAAGATACTTTTTACAAGAACTTACACGCTTTTACACAACAACAACAACTACAACAACAACAGGAACAACACGAGAAAACTGAACAACACTTGTATATACACTTTATAGAGCTGTCTATTCAGTTATTAAAAAAGATATATTATATATATAAATATATTAAAGATTCACTTTTTTAAATATCTCACTGTTACAAATTATCGAACTCAAAACGAATAAGAAACGGAGAGAGGAGGGAAGCGTTTGAGAGTGAGAAAAAGTGTGGAAAAAGAGACAGTAGGAAAAAGAGAGAAATTGAAGAGAGAATTCATTGAGAGAAAGATTACGAAAGAGAAAGGCAGTAGAAAAGAACGAGGAAGTCCATGGAAGGAGAGGAGACACAGAGAAAAGGAGGGAGGCAGAGGAAAAGTATGTGTGAGAGAGAGTAGAAAAAGGGGAGAAGTGAAAAGGTGATTGGAGACGGATAGAGAGAGGGACAGAGAAAGGAGGGGCGAGAGGAAATTTGAATGGAGAGGAAACCATAAAACGAAAAAAAGTAATAAAGGAGTTGAGGCATAGAATTTGAGATAGCAAAAAAGACAAAGAGAGCGAGAAAGAGAGAACAGAGCAGAACCCACATAAAAAATTTAGAGAAAGCAATTTTCGCTCTAGCGAAGCTCGAGAGGAAGTGTAATTCACAGCTGATCAATTGATATTATTGGCAATTCTAGGGAAACGTTACCTTTATCTGACATATATAATTTAAAACAAGTTGTTGATCTTAAAAAAATATATCTATATATATATTTATATATGTTTATATATATGTATATCATAAAATTGTGCATGTAATTAAATTATTTGATGGGCGTAGCATTTGTTGCATATTCTATATAAACAAACACACACACATAAATATATAAATATAAATATATATATATATATATATATCTATATATATACAGACAAAATATAATTTATATACATACAAAGAATAATCAAATTTCACTCAAATTAGTATATACTATATATGTGTAAACATAATTATAGCAAAGAAAACAAATAATGTATTTTAGAAATATGCAATTATAAAAAATAAAAAATAAATGAAAAAATAACAATTGCGGTTTTTTACTCTTGCCACCAGCTGTTGCCTGCCTTATCAGCCGCTATCACAGCGCAATTTTTTTTTGGGCACCACAAAATATGCCCGTTCTCAGCAAAAGTTAAGCTTAGCTTGTGGTTTTTTATTTTGGATAGCATTGATAGGGAGGCCTATAAAAGGCGTAGTCCGAGCCTAGAGAAGTCACAGTTCTCCAGCAACTGCAACAAGTGCTACAAGTGCTACAAGTGCCCAGTTCCATTTATTCAATTGCCCCGTTGACTAATAACTTGTTAAGTTCTCGCTAAGATGGCCGACAAGAAGAATCTGCTGCTGCTGTTCGAGCACCCAACGGAGCCCGTCTTCATGGACAAGGGCAAGAAGGTGACCGTGTTCGATGTGCCCGACAACTATCTGACCGATCGCTATCGCCCCATCAGCAACGAGGTGCAGAGCCGTGTCGGCGAGAAGGTTGAGCAGCGCGTCCCGGTGCGTGAGATCTCCATTCCGGATCTGCGCATACCCATGTCTCTGGGCCGCGACGAGCAGTTCTCGCTGTTCATACCCAAGCATCGACGCATCGCTGGCCGCCTTATTGACATCTTTGTAAACATGCGCAGCGTCGACGATCTGCAGAGCGTGGCGGTCTATGCCCGCGATCGTGTCAATCCGGTCATGTTCAACTATGCGCTGTCCGTGGCGCTGTTGCATCGTCCCGACACCCAGGGCCTGGACCTGCCCTCGTTCGCCCAGACTTTCCCCGATCGCTTTGTCGACTCGCAGGTGTTCCGCGAGCTGCGCGAAGAGTCGTTCGTGGTGCAGCCGGGCTCGCGCATGCCGATTGTCATACCGCGTGACTATACCGCATCCGATCTGGAGCCGGAGCATCGTCTGTGGTATTTCCGTGAGGATCTGGGCATCAATCTGCATCATTGGCATTGGCATTTGGTGTATCCCTTCGAGGCCTCCGACCGCAGCATTGTGGACAAGGATCGCCGCGGCGAGCTCTTCTACTACATGCACGAGCAAGTCTTGGCTCGTTATAACATGGAACGATTCAGCAACAATCTGGCCCGCGTGCAGCCGTTCAACAATCTGCGCGAGCCAATTGTCGAGGGCTATTTCCCCAAGATGGACTCCCTGGTGGCCAGTCGGGCGTGGCCGCCGCGCTTTGATAACACACGTCTGGGCGATCTGAATCGCGAACAGGATCAGATTAATGTGGAGCTGGGCGACTTGGAGCGCTGGCGCGATCGTATCTTCGAGGCTATCCACCAGGGCTTTGTCCTGGACGTGAGTAGCATTGTGTGAGGCAATTAATTTGGATGGGTTTTCAATTATTACATTATTACAGGAGCGTGGCCAACGCATGGATTTGGATGAGGCACGCGGCATTGATATACTGGGCAATATTGTGGAGTCCTCCATTCTGTCGCCTAATCGCACCCTGGTGAGCTGACGCGGGAGCACGTGCTCACGACCAGACTTTAACGTATACCCTGTAATTTCAGTATGGGGATCTGCACAACTTTGGGCACGTTTTCATCTCCTATTCGCACGACACAAACAACAAGCACTTGGAATCGTTCGGCGTGATGGGCGATTCCTCGACGGCGATGCGTGATCCGGTCTTCTACAGATGGCACGCCTACATCGATCGCATCTTCCAGGAGCACAAGACCCGTCTGCCCGCCTACACGGACACCCAGCTCAACTATTCGGGCATCTCCATAACGGGCGTCCAGGTGGCCGCCAACGGCAGCCAGCCAAATGTTCTGACCACCTTCTGGCAGCAGTCGGACATGGATTTGTCGCGCGGCTTCGATTTCACGCCACGCGGCAATGTCTTCGCCCGCTTCACCCATCTGACCCACTTGCCCTTCACCTACACGATCAATGTTAACAACGATGGAGGCGCCCAGCGCTTTGGCTATGTGCGCATCTTCTTGGCGCCCAAGAATGACGAGCGCGGCCAGCCCATGCTGATGCGCGAGCAGCGCCTCATGATGGTCGAGCTGGACAAGTTTGTCGTCTCCCTAAATCCCGGCCCGAATACCATACGCCGTCGTTCCACGGAGTCCAGCGTGACCATACCGTTCGAGCGCACCTTCCGCAATCTGGAGACGAATCGTCCGGCCGCTGGCAGCGCCGAGGAGCTGGAGTTCAATTTCTGCGGTTGCGGCTGGCCAAATCACATGCTTATACCCAAGGGCCTGCCCGAGGGCCTGCGCTGCGATCTCTTTGTCATGGTGTCCAACTATGAGAACGACAGGGTGAGCAATTCTTAGCTGACATTAGCTTGGCTTTAATTAATTTGGCCCCTCTCTTGACACAGATTGATCAGCAGCTGGTGGGCCGCTGCAGCGATGCGGCCAGCTATTGTGGGGTGCGCGATCGTCTCTATCCCGATCGCCAGTCGATGGGCTATCCCTTCGATCGGCTGCCGCGCACTGGTGCCGATCGCCTGGTCAACTTCCTGACGCCCAACATGAGCATTGTCGATGTTAGCATTCGCCACGAGAATCGCACCACCCAACGCCAGGCCTAGTTACAGTTCTCAACTCTAGCTGATGACAATGATGATGACAACGACCTTCGCATAGATATAATCATAATCATATACTACTTGGCAATAGCCTATATTGCATCTTGATTGAGCTGTTAATAAAACGCATCATGGCATTTAAAGAAAACAATACAAATTCCTATAGAGTCCCATTCATTTCTATACTATAGATCGAGGCCTTAGATTGCGCTTATCAGGCGGCGCTCAAGCTATTGATAGCAGCTCTCTCTCTCTCTCTCTGTCTGTCTGTCTCTTTCGCTCTTCTCTCATGTGGTCTGCTTATAATCGCGCCGCTGTCGCCACAGTGGCTCAGTTCTGGACGCACCGCCGTGTGGTGCAAAAGTGAAAGCGATTTCAACTAAAGTTCTTCAAGGCGAAAAGATGCGCTACGCGTGTCAAGCTCAGCTGCTGCTGCTGATAGCAGCCATTGGCGTAAGCATAATTCAAAAACACTTAAATAATAACTAAAACATGTTAAGATTAGGGACTGCGCAATACTCTACGTTGCTTAAAGTAAATTCTATAGCCGAACCTGATTAGCCGGAAGATAAGTTCGTAGTTTCCCATAGTGTACCCAACATATAGATAAACACACACACTCTGGCAACAGCTGTGCTTCATATATAAATCAAATTAAAGAATTGTTCTATACATTTTCTGGCATGTTTACTTGAGCACATACCAAAAATGTACAGCCAAATAGATCACTCTCTCCCTATATCTAAGTCTAAGTCTCTAAACTTTTACTTTTATTGCAAGTGTCATATAACTAATGCATGTAGCTCACACAATCAACTTGTTGCTCAAAATCAATATTTATCGATTGTCAAAGACAAAAACGATATACGATATACGAAAGCCTTGCCATTAACCTATTTAGGTCTGATATTAACCTACTTAAAGTCCATGCACAAAGCCTACATACCCTACATTAATCTCTGCACAGGGTATACCTGCGCATAGACAACAATTTAAAAAAGTTTTTGTGCCATTTGTCTGACCTTAGGTGACAAGAGCTGGCGTCAGCTCAAACTACGATCGGCAGGCCAAGACGTTCATCGATCAGTCGAGCGAACGCTACTTCAAGCTGTACAATCAGATCGCCTCGGAGACGTACTCGGCGAACAATGAGGAGGATTTCGAGGCGCTCTTCTCGAAGCTGACCAATGTGAAGCGCATTGCCGACGAGCTGGTGGGCATTTCGCGGGAGGCGAGCGGCTTCGATCTGAGCAAAGTTCAGGATGGGGAGCTGAAGCTGGCACTGCAGGAGCTGCGCAAGGTGGGCGATCTGTTTGTGCTGGGCGAGGATTATTTCTCGTCGGTGCAAATGAATCTGGCAGCATTGCAAAAAATGTCCACGGACAAGGACATCGAGCCATATCTGGGCGGCGCCAAGATGCCCAACGAGGACGACAGCCCGTTGGCCTACTATCCGGACATACAGAAGATTGTACAGCGCAGCAGCGACGTGGACGAGCTGAAGTACTATTGGGAGACATGGCGCGACAAGAACCAGATCTGGGCCTCTGTCAACTTCTACACCATTGTGCAATCGTACCAGAAGGCCGCCAAGATACTGGAGATACCCGTGCATCAGCTCTGGTATCGTTACGACAGCCAAGAGATGCTGCAGCAAATGGAACAGGCCATGGCCGAACTGAGGCCCGCCTATCAGCAGCTGCACGCGTTTGTGCGCCACGAGCTGCACAAGAAATACGGCAATGAGGTAGTCAGCGCGAACGGACCCATACCGGATCACCTGTTCCAGCAGGTGCTCGAGCAGGCTTGGGAGGAGGGCAGCATCATTGAAGCCTACTTTCCGCGCAAGGATCTGCCCCAGTACGATGACTTCGTCCAGCAGCTGAGCGCCAAGGCGCTCATCAACGAGTCCGAGAGCTTCTATACCTCGCTGGGTTTTCCGCCGCTCAGCGCCGAGTTCCACAAGAATCAGCTGAAGGAACCCAACGAGGACAGACCCGACGATGACTGCCGGCCCGCGCTCTTCGATCTAACGCCCCATGTCTATATGATGTACTGCGAGAAGGTCAGCTTCAGGAAGCTGATGCAGTACCACGCCCACATGGCGCGCGTCTACTATGCCGAACAGAAGAAGCAGCTGCCATCGTATTACTTCAAGGCCTACAACCTGGAGTATCCCGTGGGCGAGGCTGTCGTGCTATCCGCCTCCTCGCCCACACATCTGACGGGGCGTGGCCTGGCCAAAAACGTGCAATTCACTGAGCAGACACTGATGAATCGACTCTTTAGAATGGTGGGTGGCAGGACTGTCGATATAGCAGCCTCTCAAGACCTTTCTCTCTTCGATCTCTCCTCCAGGGCATTCACACAGTTCTGAACATACCGCTGTACTATGTGCACACCAAGGTGATGCACGATCTGTTGAACGGTACAGTGGACATGGACACAGTCAACAGGCACTATTGGCGCCTCTTGGAGCAGCATGCGGGTATTGAGCCACCCACGGATCGCACGGAGGGAGCCATAGACTTTCCCTACAAGTTTTATGTGAACATTGAGCAGAATTATCAAACCAAGTAAGCAAAATCAGAAAACTATCTATTGATTAACTAATTGTGAATTGTTTGCAGAAAATTCATTTCGGAAATTCTGGGCTATCAATTTTATCGTGCGCTGTGCCATCAGGCAAATCATCGCGGTCTGCTGCACAATTGTGATTTCTATGGCAATTTCGCTGTGGGCAACAGCCTCAAGTGGGTCTTAAAAGAAAAGGTAATATTTACTTAGGTAAACGATAAAACTATTCCTTTATTCAGGGCTATGATGTCGCTGGGCTCAACGAAACCTTGGCGTGAGGTAGTTGGCAAAGTTTTGCCCAAAAATACAGGACTCAGCAGTTTGGCGCTCCTGGAATATTATCAGCCCATCGTGGACTGGCTGAAGACGCACAATAAGCAGACCAAAGTTAAGATTGGCTGGAATTCTACACAAAAAAGTAGGTAAATGCTTGTTTAAGCTAAGAATTTGACACTAACATATTGATTTGCCTTGCAGAGGTCGTTTAAGTGCGCTGTTTATGTTATTTGCTTGTTAAACTCAATAAAAATGTTTACTAAATATTCAAATACTATTTTCAAATAACTGACGGTTGGCATACGATTGGCAGCACTGCAAGCAAGTCAAATGAACTGCGTCAATGAACTACGTGAGCTAGTTCCGAATCCAGCTGTTGTCTCGCTTTCGCCTCGGCAAATGTTCGGTGCAGTGCAGCTGCGTGTGCGCTGAGCGTTAGAGTGAGACACATGTATAGACACGAATGTGGCGGGCGAACAAAATATTCAAAATACGAAAAACTCGACTTTGTGCTTAACATATCGAAAATTATAAATGAAAAGAATACTAATACTACTACTATGGGAAAAGTGAAAATATTCAAGCAAACTTATTTAACGGTGGCAACAAAAATATAAAACTAAACAAGATAACTGAATTGTAATTGATATTTAGGAGTTATTTTGTTCAGTCGGATATTTTGTGTACTATTTTTGCTATTGTTAAACAAATTGGCTTCAATCTCGCATATTCTCTTTATGCAGCCCTGGTCAATAGCAATGCTGCGCTTGCCTAAGAACCATCAGCCGCAAGAGATTTGTCCACTTTGGCAGCATTTTAGCCACAGCAATATATACGTTGGCTATGATTAGCTGCTGCATTTCCCAATCGGCTGCCAGTCAGCCGAATAATCTGTTCCGGCCATTTGGCAGCGCAGCTTTCGATGCACTTTACCTTTTGCTTGCCACAAATGACCGCCGACTCAGTTGCCGCGGTGGGCGAGTGGCAGGGACGGGGCAACCTCCAAGCTGAATATGCGTCCGCTAAAGTGTCGCAATGCTTAGTCGCAGCTGTCGCAGTTGAAGCTCATCGAAGCGCAGCTTTGTGCGTGGCACGTTCGCCGCTTGATTGCGTTCATGCAACAACAGACCCAAAAGCCACATCCACATCCGAAACGTCGACAACGCCTGGACTGCATGACAGGCAACATTTTTGTAGCTGCCCCCCTCGCACATAGCAAACGGGGATTAGTATCTGCCCACTTGGTTGGCATTCTGTCAAGCCGGACTTCAGCTTGACGCTTCACTTGCCACACACACACACACACACACACACAATGCCTGGCAAAAGGTCAGCGATTCTTGTGCTTGATGGTCATTAGCCAAGTCGCAGCTGCAGCCAACTGTGGCGCAATTGCAGCCGCCATGCCGCAAGGTCGTCCACGTCCATTTATATATGCGCTCAGGGCTTTGAGCTAATCAGCGGGGCGTGCCTCAGCCTCTTTCACTACCAATTCGATTTCCAATTGTTTAGTGGGCGGCTTTTCTTAAATATTTCTCTCTTTTGTGTGCGTGTGTGTGTGTAAATGATTGCATTGCGTGCCGCCCGCTGCTAATTGCGCCAAATTGCAGTCAGGGGGCAACGCGCACTGAATGGCCATGAAATGAAATTGTTTCCACTACGGCAGCAGCAGCCGCTCCACAGATTGCCAGACTCGGCTCCAACTTTGACATGGCACGGCTGCCGCAACAGCAAGCGAGCCGGACGTGAACTTCCAAGTTGGAGCTCAAGTTGAGTGAAAGGCACCCACGCCGTCGACGTCGCCGTCGCCATCGTCAGCGTCAGCGTCAGCGCAATCTTTATTCGGCTTGCTGAATGCCTCTTTATGCAAAATACTCGAAATGGCCCACAAACAACAAAAAGGGAAAACAAGTTAAATGAAATTTACATGCGGCTGTCAGCCAATTTGGTTGAACTTTTTTAAATTGCCGCCTGGCCATCAACAAATGCATTAACATTAACCCAAAAATTCGTCTCAACTATCTCATGTATGGCTCGCTCTTGCTCTGTCTCGCTGTCTCCCTCTTCGTGCTCTAGACCCACCTCTCTCTGTCGCTTTGGCGAATTTTTGTTTACACATTCAACTGGCGCGTTTTAAGCAAATATTTTCTCACTGGTTTCGCACAAAGGAAGCCAAATGAAACGAAACGCGCCGAACAAGCTAAATAATCCACGAATCTTACAAATGGGCGCAGGCATAGATAATTGTGAAAGGAATTACCATAAAGTTTAGATCATACTTTTATAAAATGTGGGATAAAGGTTGCAGACACAAACAGAGAGGAACTGCATAAAGCAAACGTTAAACTATCTAACTATCTATCTATCTATGAGTATCTTTAGAGATAGATATAGATATAGATATAGATATAGATATAGATATAGATATATATATAGATATAGATATAGATATAGATATAGATATAGATATAGATAGATATAGATATAGATATAGATATAGATATAGATATAGATATAGATATAGATATAGATATAGATATAGATATAGATATAGATATAGATATAGATATAGATATAGATATAGATATAGATATAGATATAGATATAGATATAGATATAGATATAGATATAGATATAGATATAGATATAGATATAGATATAGATATAGATATAGATATAGATATAGATATAGATATAGATATAGATATAGATATAGATATAGATATAGATATAGATATAGATATAGATATAGATATAGATATAGATATAGATATAGATATAGATATAGATATAGATATAGATATAGATATAGATATAGATATAGATATAGATATAGATATAGATATAGATATAGATAAAGATATAGATGTAGATATAGATAAAATATAATTAAATTAATTAAATTAATTTGAACTTTAAGTGCTCCAATATTATATCTCCAGCCAAGAGTTATTCAGATGAAACTTTACAAATTTTTGGCGATTCGCAGAGGCAGCCACAAAATTCAAGTAGATATCATTAAAATCGCGCTTCAGCCATGCAGACACTAATTTATTAGACCCAATGTGGGCTTGCTGTGGCGCCCCGTTGTTTGCTGCATGCCGCCCGCTCCATACAATGTGGTCAACGCGCAGCACAGAAATCGAAAAAATAATAAAAAAAATCAACACGCAGCTGACCCCAAGCAATTAAGAAATTATGTATATTATGACGCGGGCTGTGATGATGGCAACAAAGGCAATAATAATAATAATAAAAATATATAAATAAAAAAAAGGGGGAGATGCGAAACAGACGGTCAGCGCTCGAATTGGAGGATTATGTATACGCACCGCTGGACGGCGCACAACACAGCCGCTGCCCCAATATGTTGTATGCTGGCTTACACAAACACACACACACGCACACATGCACATAATAACTGCAGGCGCCTTTTTTTAACCTTTCTTTATGATTATTATTAGCAGCAGCAGCAGCAACGAAATACACAATGATACAGCAATGCCCATAATTATCATTTGTTGCATTTCATTTCTTGTGTGTTTTGTGTTTTTTGGGAAGCCAAACAGTCCCGACTTTCGGCTGTCGTATTGTCTATAGTCTCTTCCACACGCCCCACACACCCTGGCTTTTATGGCATTAGGCGTGTAAATCATGGCTTTAGTGTGAAGTTTTTACTAGTTGTAAATCTTTTACACTTCTATTAAGTGGAAAGCGAAAAACTACGGGTTCTTCTTTGATGCGCATTAAATGCAAATCATGGCATTCATTTCGCTCAATGTCGGCTTCCTGCCATGGCGAAGGCATAAAACAAAAGACTGAAGGCACGAACGCGCCAAAGATTTTAAGCACAGTTTGCTGCCTTGTTATATAACAGCGTGCTCGCCTTAAATAAAACTCAACCAAAAAGCCACGCCAATGGGTCAGAGGTGAGACAAAGGGAGAGAGAGAGAGTGAGAGAGGGAGCGCAAGAGAGTAAGCGAGTCGGGGAGTGGGAGGCCTGCTGTGTAGGTGGAGAAATTATGTTGACATCATCGCCAAAAAATTGCCAAGAAGCCAAGCAACGCGAGCTCGTTCAATACTTGCAAAAAAAATAAATAAAACAAAAAAGAAGAAAAAGCGTTGGGTGAAAAAATATCAAAATAAAATTAATTTTACTTTCATTTTCGGTGAAGCTCATTTCATTTACTTTTGCGCTTTTGCATTTGTATTTGTGGTTTAATGAATTATAATTTGGGCATAACCACAAAAACAAATCGTCTGCTGTCTATTTTTGGGTGTTAGTTATTCAATCTGATTGCATTTTGATTATGTTGCAAATGCCACAAAATAAGTGCCGGTATTTAGATGCTCGCTTTGACAGGCAATTGGTAAACTAGATGTTAAATATGTGCTTTTTTATGAACTTAACTTTTAGATAAGCTGAAAGTATCTCAGCACATGAGTTGAGTTGACCAAGCCAATTAACATTTACTTTGTCAGGCAAATCTCGATAGATTTAATATTCAGTTGGACAGGAAGGTACTTTCTGGCAAACTTTATGTAAAATTAGTTTCATTTCTGATAAAGCATTAAAATTTCCTTTGACAGGCAGGCTTTAATAAAATTCTTGTCCATTACAATAAAACTGAATGTTATCAGTTTGACAGCAAGGCTTGCGTTTCTCTTTATAACTCCACATCAGAGCTGTAGTTTTGACATTTACCTCGGCAGGAAGTTGTAATATTTTGCAATTTTATATTTATTTACACTTCTTTTTGTAACGGTCTGAGCTGTTAAGTCTGAAGATCTGTTGTCTAACTGACGGACTGATGAGGTGAACGGCGAACAATGAGGAATTATTTTTATGTTTTTCTTATAATTTGCAACTTAATCATAATGAAAACGTTGCGAGCACGCAATTTGATTTGATTTGTTGCGCCTACTGCACAAAAGCAATGCAAGTCAAAAGCGTTTGAGCTTTAAAATTACCTTTTAATAGGCCACAGCGTAAATTTCCTGGCTCGATGCCAGATGCCACAGACACAGTTACAGTCCCATTGCGAAAAGCGGGCCAATTTGTTTACCAATTTGCTTTTGCTGCTTATGAAACGAATCGCTGTCAACTGTTTTAAGCAATTTTCTAGGTCAACTGCGGCGGTACCCAACAGCAATTGCTAAACAGCATTTCCAAATGTTAGCCCCGCCACCGGACCCCAATTGCAGTTGCACACTAATGTGCAAATTATTTATACGCCTCGCTTCAAATCTGGCTGTCATCTTTCATTTTGGACAATCAAATTTTCTCAAATTGCAACTCGAGTTGCCTGGCTAAAGACCCGAAAGGTAATCAACTGCAGGCAGCAGTGTCGAGGAGCCAAGCCGTGCGCACAAAGAAATAGTTTTCTTTATGCGCGCGTGTTGTCTATGGTCTATGCAACTTATGTACATGTATTGTAAGAGACGCTCATAAAGCTCATTTCGCTGAACACAAAAAAAAATAAAATAAAACACCCTCGGTTACGCATGCCCCGTTGAATCTGCCGTCTGTCGGATTGTATAAGCCATCAGTTTCCCCCTCGCACACACACACATGACACATAAATATGTCGCGAGCTGGAGCTGTAGCCGCAGCTCTTGCATAGACAATTGTGTAATTAGCCAAAAAAAGCAATACACAACATAAAAGAGCTAAAAGACAGTGGTAACAAAAATCTAAACGGCTTTTAGCTTTTCACATATTCATTTCCATAAGCCGACGCTCGATTGTCTGTGGGCTGGCTGCTCTTTGGCAATCCCGACAGCCGGCAATCAGTGCTCAGAGCTGAGATCTCAAACTGGTTGACACCTTTGCTCTGTCGGCGCCGAAATTGATTTATGACCGCCTCACTGCCAGCTGTCATATGCGCTTCCATATATCACGATCCCATCTTGTGTCTCTTCCCATCTTGGCCAGCATCGAGATATTTATTGTTTATTTGTTGGTCTTCAGCCGAAAGTCTACTAATTGCCGCCGGGACGAACAATTTCTTGGTAACTTTGCCCTGTGGCACGTGGCCATTGGCAATGCGAGTACACAGTAAAAAAACTACCAACTGCTTTGTTATGCGAGTTTTTAAGATAAAATTTGTGAAACTGTATATGTGATTAAATGCCAAGCTCTTGATATTTATTTACACATTTCCCAAACAAATTATTTTACAGAATATTTTTTAAGAGTGCACGAATTTATTTTTGCTAATAGTTTTATATCATGACTAAGCTGTTAAATACTTCGTGTATAAAATGATTTGAACGGCGTATTTTATTTTATATCATAAATTAGTTCAAATTAAATTTCTTATATTTGTGTATTTGTTTATATGAAAATAACTCGTTCTAATTCAATTGCGGCTTATTTCTTTTAATACCCATTCACAAGTATGGAAAGTTTTTAATATCCTAGACACACACACGCACATACATTATCTGCGCTGCACAAACATCCGCTCTGAATATCCGGCGTTATTCGTGCGGGCCTTTTTTTTCTTTCTTAGTTTTATATATTTATGTCATTAATAAACAATTAAAGGCAATTTGTTAAGCAGTGCTAATCGAATTAGTACGTTTGGGTGCATAACTATAGCGACTGCGAACTGAACGCAGCACACAAACAAAAGACTGAAGGCACGAACTCAATATTGAAACACCAAACACAGAACTCATTCTCATTGTGAGTTCTTTATTAGAATCTTTGCAGCGCGCTGCGCTAAATGGCATCACGAGTTGTGCCTGGGCAACAGTCAAGTAAACAATGTGACAAAAACAATCCGAAAAAATCACAACAACAACAACTACTACTATATAGCGCATCTCGCAGCAGCTGTTGGATATAGCTGCAGATGCGATTTTTGCGCACTGGGTTTTGGCTTACAGGCCAGGCCGAGCCGGGCCGGGCCGGGCCGGGCCGGGCCGGTAGTTCATTATATCACCTCTGGGTGAAAGTGATGATGGCATTCGCACACACCGGAGAGCGGCGTACAGATACACACACGTAAATGAAGCATGTGCGAACATTTTCCTGCCTCATCATTTTGGGTGCTTACCGCTGCTGCAGGGTGTGTGTATGTGCGTGTGTCTGTGTGTGGCGCTGTATATGCAGCTGTTTAACGTACAGCAAATGTATGCTAATCTCGATATCCAATTGCATCTCCCCCTTTCCCCCCTGTCTCTCACGCTCTGTGTGTTGCATTTGTTGTGCCTCTTGCAAATATTTGTGTTGCCATTTTTTTCAATTATCGATTTTTATTTGCCTTTGACGTTGAGCTGTGAAGCGCAGACTTTGCAAACTTCCTCATTGCGCACGCTGTCTGTTATGCAGTTGCAGCATCAGTGGGAAAAAGCAAAATGAGAAGTAAAAAAAAATAAAATAAACGACAGCTACATCATTTAATGCCTGCAAACAGCGCGGCTTTGTCTCTGCCAGAGAAATCGGCAAAAACAAAAGATGCTGCCAAAAAAAGCAAGAAAAACAAAACGAAAGACATCTAAATAAAATGTCAGTCAAATGAATATTCATAAATTATGCCCAAGCAAACACAAAACAGAGGCAAATGAGTGATTGCCAGCAGTAGCAGCAGCAGCCGCAGCTGTAAAAATTGTGCCAGGCTAGGCGAAATTAAGAGCAATTGCTACTCGAGTTTGCGGTTAAGCTTTTTTTATTGTGCTGCCTGCCGTATGCAAATATTTGCCCGGGTCACAACAAACACACACTCACACAGACGCGCAAAACACTTTCCAACAGTCGCAAGCATCCGCCAGCATCAGCAGTATCACCCGCGCCAATGCCAATGCCCATGTCCGCCAGCTGAAGCTGAAGCTGGAGTATTTCCAGTCACAGCTACAGCTAAAGATACAGATACAGATACTAGCACACATACAGATACATTTGCCCAGCTACAACTTCAGTTGTAGATATGAGCTGCTGCTCCTTTCACTTTCAATTCGCCGGTGCGCTGAAATGAGAGCAAAACGGACTTTAGCGCGTCAATAACAAGGGAGCTAACAACAACAACAACCAGTACACACACACATACACACACAACACTCTTTAGCTGCACAAACATAACAACAATCAAAATAGAAGAAATCACTGCGATGATTCATCTGAATTGGTTGGCAGCGGATGCTGCGAAACGCTGCTGTCGCCATCGTCTTTTTTACTTCGTTCGCATTGATTTTCCAAAGGCCACTCCATACATGCGTGTGCGTGTATATGTGTGTGTGGTCATGTGAGTTTATTTTTTTTTTCTTTTTGTCAACTGCTTTTTGGGAGTTTCCCTCGGCCCGTTGGCTGTTGAGATCAAGGCTCCTTGGCACAGCCTTGACGTTGAATCGCTGCACATTCAGCACAAGTTCGTTGCCTAAGTCTTTCATTTCGACAACGAACGTTCAAGTGCTTGAGCTCAAAGATGAACAGTTACCGGTTAGCTATTCATTTGACTTGCTTTTAACCTGATAAGTATTGAGTTTGGGATGAGTTCTTCGGCTTAAGAGAGGCTAGAAATATATTTGTGGGCGGTAAAAAGATAAAGGTCGTTCAGTTTATTTTTTATTTGATAGAGTTGAGGTGATTAAAACTTGGACTTTCATCGATCATGTAAACGGAAATCCAGAATAACACTTCGATGTTTTTTTAAGAAGAGACCAAAGCCCTAGATGACAGCTAAGAGATCATTGGAGTTCCAAGGCTATCGAACACTTTGATATAGATAAGTCATATCGACACTAAAAGCCATGCAGCATGGATATTATGAAAAACAAATCAAGAATAGAAATGAGATATTTATTAAGGAAGGGATTAAAGAAGTACCTGAAAGCCTTGAGATCATTTGTTGGATCTCAAAAGCTATCGATAATATTGATATGGAAAGATCATATTGATCTGTGCAGTATATACTTATATGATAACAAACTAAATTAAAATTAAATTTTTTTTTTTTTTATAGGAAGGCCCAAAGTCTTAGCTGACAGCAGAGAGATAGTTTCCTGATGCTGCAAGGTTATCGATAATTTTGAGAGTCGATAATTGATAACGATACAATAAGTGCGCGTCATAACCCATGCTAATTGCTTTTGCACCTTTGTTTATTTCGACGACTTTGCTCTTATTTTGTTGACAATGTGCCTAGCTCGTATTATTGTTGCGCCGTGTTCAAATACCCCCCACTTTATGGCAGAGACGCTACATTCACGGCAGAGTTTATGTAGTTGACAAGGTGCTCCGTTTACATTTCAATCGCATCGACGCGGCTAACTGCAATTAGCTGTCAAAGTCAAGTCACAGACGTGTCACAGTCTGTCAAAAGGCATTAAACATGTCGATGCTTTTGTTGTTCTGCTAAAAATGTTTAATTGGCGCTTGTCATGGCTGGACAGTTGTTGCTGTTGCTGGCTATATAAATGATATAAAGCTGGCGGCTATTTAAATACTGAATGCAATCGTAAGTTTTTGTGCTCGTCTACGTACTTACTATTGACCATGGCGGCCAATGATGCTTTACGGACTTCATAACATAATTACAGCTTACGAAATGGGCGCCTGTCGTTAGCAGCAGCAACGGGTGGGGGGGTGGTGAGGTAAGATGGTAAGGCGAGGGCGCCGCCGGCTGTCTGAGCCGGCATTAAGCAATAAGTATTTTTTTATCATATATATATACATAAATATATTTTTGTTGTAAGTATTTGTACAATGCGCTGGCTGTTACTGGCATTTAAGACACACACACACACACACACAACCACACACAACCACACACTCACACACACGCACACACTTATCATGAGCGTCGTCCCCTTTCATAGCTTTTACGCTGTGTCTGTGCATTTTATTGTTGCCTCATCGCCAACGCAGCGCAAGCGACAGCTGTTTTTCCCTGCTTTGCTTTAGCCAAAAAAACAACCGAGTAGGAAGAGGCAGCAGCAGCAGCAGCAGCGGCAGTCGCGACTGCGCAGTTGGCTTCGTATGAAAAGCATTGCCTACAGCTTCGCTCGGGTTTAGCGGCCGCGCTTGCGTTCAGACTTCTTTGAGACTTCGCTCAAGAAGGTCGTGTGCGCGCTCGCCACTGAGAAAAAGTAAACGACAACAAAAAAAAAGCTTAATCAAAAAGCTCGTTTCGTATCGCACGCTCGTTCGGTTCGACGTTTCGCAACACGCGCGCAAATCGTAAGTGTTGGCTAATGTGCATTTTAGTGTATAGGATACGCAGCTAAAAGGACCTGCCAACTGCAAATTAAAGCTAACATAAAGAGCTAAATAATAAAAGCCAGAAAGAGCGTAACAACAATTGCTAAATTGAGTGTGTTTATCAATAAGAGTGGATTCAAGTGGAGTCGAGTGCTACGTATTGGAAATTGGATTGGATTGGATTGGATTGGATTGTAGCTATATTTACTGCTGTTTTTGTTGTTGTTGTTGTTGTTGTTGTGTTGTTAGTGAGTTGCAATTTCGTTTCGTTGCGGCTGCGCGCCTGACAGTGAAAGTGATTTGATTTTGCAATTGGAGTCTGGAGTCGCAATCGCAATCTGTAGCCGTTTGCTGTTGCTAAACATTATATATACATATATAAAAATATCTATATTTTTAGCTCAGCTGCAGCTTAATTCGATATTTTTGCTATGATTGTAGCCACAAATTTATGTTTAGCTAGCTTTATGGCCAGTTTATCAATTCATAACAAAACGCAACGCAACGTGCAGCCAAGCCAAACGAAAACCCGAAAATATATTTTAACTATTTTCGATTGCATTTAAAATTGATATACACTTTCAAGTAAATTTCTAAACGCGTGTTTTTTAACCACTGTGCTCTAATTTTTATAGCCAAAAAACATAAACAACAATTAAGCGAAAAGCAGTAAGCACACAATTGGATTAATTCTGCAAATAGTAAACAAAAAACTTGGGTAAGGCCATAAGCAAATTTGTTTGTTCATTTTTTTCTTCTTAGTATTCATGTATTGCTACACACATTAATGCGAGCGAAACTAATGAAATGTCCATAAATTTCACATTCAATCAACATTTATTAGCAATCGCCACGACGACGATTAAATCATTCAAATTGCAACAGCGCACGAGCCGCAAAAAGAAAAAAGCAAAAACAGAAGAAAATTCAAGAAAAGAAATAACTAAAGCGTCATTATCTAATAAATCTTGCATTATACATGGACATAAAAGTGTGTGTGCCCACACAAAAACACACACAAACACTTGCGGCTGACTGCTGCCACATGCAGCGCCTAAACATGGCGCGATGGTCTTGCAACATGTGAAAATTGCTCGGATTAGGCGTTAGTTATAAAAGCGGCTAGGCACTTGGGTGCTTAGAGAGAAATAAAGCTATTAGTCACAAGAAAAATTTTTTTAATTTCTAAAATTTGCAGAAACATACGAGTTGTGTCTTTTTTGTAAGTGAAGTCCATTTTTAAGCTAAACATATTTGGGCTTGGATTTGTCACTGCTCCTGTTTCACCTTTAAACTAAGGAGTTTTTTTTTGTTGTTAAAAACTTAAAAAAGTTTAGTCATATAGATTTCTAACTGTTTTTGAACCCGGGCATAATATTAGCACAAATATTTATATATGTGTATTTATATAAAGAAAAATTGATTTAATTTGCGCCAAGCTTGTCCGCTTTTTAATATGTTAGCACAGTTACACTCAATTTGTAGCCAAATTAAATATATATAGCAAAACCACTTGTCATATATTATTCAATAAACAATATTTCAACAGCTCCTCAACTTGTTAATTATTATATAATAAACACTTGCAAGAAGCGCGCGCATTGAATAACAAATAAAGCAGACTGCACACAACAAACCAAAAAAAAAAAAAAAAACCATGTCAAGTTGTCTATAAAAAAAAACATATATGCAAAAACAAAAACAGGAAAACATAAATAAAAGTGCGTCGAAAAAAGGGCAAACGAGACGCAGCAACAAAAGCAAACGACAAAAAGTTTAACCCAAATTTTTAACTTTAACCACAAGACGGCCCCAAACTTAAATTATTTGGCAACGTTTTTATAGCCCGGTCGAAGCTTTTGTGTTTGTGAACGCACAATACACTAAATACATATACATATACACTAAATACATATATATATATATAAGTATATATATATAGTATATGCATGTGTCACATACTTATATATGACATGAACTTCATTATCAGCAAAGCGCCGCCAACGCCATCGAAGACGTTTTTTCGTATTTTTTTTTTTTTTTTTTTTGGGTAACATCTCTTTTTTCTTTCTTTTCTTTTGTTTTCCTCAAGTGGTTTTATTTTATTTTTTATTTAGGGCTTTGCTTATTGCGTAAGCGGAGAAACTCGTATTGCTCTGCATGCTCTTTAGAGCATGTTATATATTGAATTGCGGCGTCGCTGTCAGCTGCTGCGGCTGTGTTACGAAAGACTTAAGACACAAACTTGAGAACTTTCTTTGCCGTTGAATGCACGCCTGACACAAATTACTTAATTTAAGACGCGCTTATTGTAATACCACGTACGTGACTTGCATGTGAAAGGGCTTTTTAAGACTGGGAGTCTTATGCAGAAGCATATCGTAAGCTTTTAAGAGCCTGCGGTAGCAGAGTATTCAGGTTTTAATCGAATAACAATAAAATATAATATTTTATATTCTTTTCGACTGACCAAATATTAGCTTAGTTAACATTAAAAAGAGTAAGTGAAAAGCGTATAAAATCTATAAATATTTTATATAAGTAGGTATAAACAAATACAAAAACAAGCAAGCGTAAAGTGTTAAATGGCAGCTGAGCTGAACAACTGTTTTAAAGGGTATCGTTAAAGTCGAGCATTACATACATAAAAGATTCAACAGCTAGTTGCTTTCAGTTTTGTGGCGCCCATAATCCGGTTGGGTTTTTCAGGCCGAGACCCTTTTCCAAAAATCATCTGGTAATAAACCCAAATTGTGATTATTATTGTTGTTGCTGCCGTTGTGGATGCATGCGAGAAACAAGTTCCGCCAAATTGTGACCATGGCAATGGATTTCTTGCCAGTCGTTGCTTTTATTTTTTATTGTTTATGTAAATTGTATAAATATATATTTATATACTTTTGTATTGGCGCCTCAGTGTTGCTTTCTGCTGCTTTTGGACTTATGTAAAGCAATCGAGAAATGTAAATGATTTCTCAATGCGCATCCACTTTGAGCAGCGCATTCGATTATGCATTCATTTCGACTGTTAATTGGATGCGCGCTACTGTTATTTGTTTTTTACACATTTATATTTTTTTAATAGATTCCCTGAATCTGAGCTGTTTAGCATGGTCAGGCCAGGTTTTGGGTCTAGTTTTTAGCAGCTTTTAGCGGTTAGTGACCGACTGGGCCGAGTCGATAGCCCCGTTTTGCACGACTCATTAGCGCGCCGTGCGCAGAGCAACAGCTAAATTGATAAATGTAGAAGAAAATAATGCTATAAAATTTAATAGCGCTTATCTAATGCCCAGTTGACCAAAAAGGAGGCCATAAAAATGGCGCCCAAATATCGAATGTGCAACAGAGTTTTTTTTTGAAAAATATTGCTCATACGCGAAGTGGCCAAGCGCTAATTATATAATCATTATCAATATAAAAGTTGTTGTTGTTGTTGTTACGATTTGCATGCAATGCTTATGTTGCGCATCGTTGTTGTTGTTGTGGTTGTTGTTGCCAGCGCTTCTTAACACTTTTAGCTACCGGTGTTGACTTCACACATTCGTAACAATTGCGCAGCAGACATGCGTGTATTGAATATTAATTAACGCCGCCCCCTCTCACGGCCTCGCCACATCCCACCAGCTTGTCCAGCTAGCATATCTCTATTGATTATGTGTCTCTGGGCGTGTGGCAACAACACTTTGGGCCCGGTTCCAAATTGCGCTCGCTGCTCTCGCTAACGGCACTTACCTTACCCAATACCCATGGTAATAGGGTTTTTTTTTGTTTTGGCTTTCCATTGCGCTGTGTGTTTGCTTTTGGCCAGGCTAAATGTGCCAATGGCATGACACCAATTTTCATACGATGTGCGCCTTTGTTTGGAGTTCAGCCTGCAGCTGACCCACTTGAGCTTTTTATTTGTGTTATGTTTTCGTTTGTGTGCGAAAGTCAAACGATTTGACCTTTTTACACTGGCCTGGTCGCAACAATGTGCAATTGAACAAAATGGTAGCAATTCACATAATTGGCACAACTCAATTTAATTCGTTTGTTGCTGTAAAGAGAATTTTTTTGGGCGTGTACACTTGGCAAAAATAAAAGGTGAATTCGGCGCAAGAAAATAATAATTAATGTCTAACTATATTTTGTTTTCTATCAAATCTCTTCCATTTGTGATGCCCAAAAAACTTTGACTTAAAGAAACTCTTTTACTAAATAGTTGTTACTATTTGTACCTGACATGAACATTTTTTTGATTAAGTTGTGGATAAAACTTTAATTTACTGTCAATTTTACATATTGCGAGTCTTTTATTTTTTATTTTAAATTTATTTTTGTGCTATCCTGTAATTTAAGCATTTTGTGCAAATGCAGGCATTAAGTTTTACATAGCCTGACATTTATTTATGCGCAGCTCGTCAGCGTCACAAACGAGATGCAACAACAACGATAACGAACAACAACAACAACAACAACAACGTACAAATAACAAACGACAAATGAGCGCGGCAACTCTTTTCGGTTGCACACATTCGCCAGTTGCCATTGTTGTCATCATTTTGTGATTTTGTGCATTAGGCATTGTTTTTATCTTTATCTTTACTTTTATTTATATTTTATGCAAACGAAATTCATTTGTCTTTAAATTATGCGTGGCACAACAAACCAAATGAGTTGAACAAACGCAGCTGCCCCAGCCCCCGCCCGATCGCGTGCCCGCTAAAAGCACACGCACGAATAGCTGCTTGAAGCTCTGCGCAACACTGCGTATACGCAATGCGTTGTATCCGCATCTTCAGCAATCTCTGCTGTCGTTGTTGTTGTTGCGCATTTAAAATGCATTTATCTCAATTACGAACAAAACCAAAAAATTGCTTGTTTGCAACGCATAAACGAAACATAGCAAACGAGCAACGCATTGTTTGCAAAAGCAACAACAACAAAAGCAACTTTCACTAGGCAGCGCACAAAACTAAAACAAAGTGCACATGCAGATAAAACAGGCACACACACACACACACACAAAAGGGTGAAGTAAAAACAAAACCAAAAATATATAAAAAATAAAATAAAAGAGGAGCAGCCGCAACAATTGTTAATTAAAACAAATAAACTGACAGTAAAAAACCAAAATGAATGTGAATTATGCGTGCAGCAGAAGTGTGAAACAGAGGCAAAAATAGCGAATCAAAAGAGATAAAGAGAAATAAAAAAGAAAGAGCGCAGCGAAAGGCAAAACAGATAAAAGAAGTAAAGCCAGTTTCCGGCGTCCTTCACAAGGCCGTTGCAATAATTGCTGATGCGGCAGCCACATGTTGCTCATAATGAGGCACTTCAACATCGCGATCATCACGATGCGATCATCATCATCATGATCATCTACATTATCGGTTAGCAGCAGCTGTGGGCAGTTTGCACGCATTTTTTTAACTCCATTTTTTATATAACTTTAATCAATTTGGCGACTCGCGTTGCTCAAGCGTGTCAATTTTTGCATACGCTTTTCCAACACTGAACAAGTTGTTTTAATATGCTCTGTTTTTTATTTTCGTTGCCTGATTGCATCACACGTAATTCGCATATATCGTGCAGCTCAAGTTGCTGTGTCAATTTCGTAAAAAATATTATATATATATAAATTTTTATATATGTACAGGTATATTTTGCGGCATGTTGACAAACCAGTTGGGACGCCAGATTTCAGTTTTCAGATTTCATAATCGAAAACCAAAAAAAAAAGAAATAAATCTATTAGTCGCAGCCAAATGTGTTAACCATTATGCAAAACGATCTTCATGGCTGCAACTCTGCCCGTCCACCAGGGAAGTGAATACCTAAATGTCTGCTCACGTTTGTGCAATGCTTCCTGTTGACATTAGCTGGCCCCTCAACCCCACACACTTTAACCTCGCCGGCACAGACACGACTCTATGGAAAATCTCTTGGTTTGGCAAATCAAGTTCAAAATGTCAAGTTTGTGCAGTTGCAAGCGGCGGCTGCAGCGACGCCCCCGCTAGAGGAAGCTTAAGCACCGCAAACAGAGCTGCAACAACAACTGAAAAAACAACAACTACAAGAGCTAAGGCAGCGCCAGCTGTCCGCGTGGTGCTTGAACTCGAAATGAAAGTGAAAATTCGCTGGCAAAGCCAGCAGCGCAGCTGAGCGCAAAAAGTTGCCAACTCTTACTTTCAAAGCTGCTGCTGCTGTTGTTGTCGTTGCTGCTGCTGCTGCTGCTTTGCTGCTTCGTTGACCACAAAACAACAACAACACAGAACGCCACGGTTGCGGCATAGCGACTGCGAGATGCTCTGCCTGTAAAGTTGAAGTACTTATTGACAATTAACTTCACCTTTTCTTAATAGACTTAAAATTTAAATAATATTCAAAGTTTGGTTACATTTTTGTATTGATAATTTGCATATGAAAAAAATGTTCAAAAAAAGATATGTTAAATGTTTCATAAAAATTATGTGATACTCAAACAACAAAGGGTAGAACAAATAGAAGGAAGCGCTTTGTATATAAAGTACAATAAATAAAAAATGACAGTATATTTTCCCATACACTAATAAATTAATGACATGTGCAATTGATTTGAGGCTAAAAAAAAAGTATTTAAGACGAAATAATTTAACGGAAATGATTTAACTGGAAATGAAACGTTTTTTGTAGCACTTAGAAAATAGGATTTTAATAGAAAAAGGTATAGAAACTCTCATAAATGTATTCATGTAGTGGACAATAGCATTAAATGATAACACTATTATATTATATTATATTATTTATATATATCTTACTCGTTATCAGAAAAGTCTACCATTAAGCCTATGCTGCAACAATCAACTTAACCAGTTGATAGTCAGAAATATCGATAATTTCAAATATATTCGCAGAAAAATAAATTGAAAAAGAAAAACATAAAATTCAAATCAATTACTAAATTCCCTGATAGTATTTTTGTAGCATTTGATTTATTGAACATGAAAATTGCATTTTATTTAGCAATATCGTAAAATTAAAAGCAAGCATGCATAATTAAAATTCGGCAATTATTTATGGATGGGATCATGTGGTTAAGCTGTTTAAATGAATGTAAATGCCTTGCGCTTTCCATTAAAGCGCATTGCCTGCAATTGCTGCTTGGCTTTGCTTTTATTGCGCTTTTCATTGCAGTCATTCATTTCCTTCTATCGCTTAACGTAAAAATAACTTTTAAAAAAATGCACGAAAATTTGCAGCAGCAAAATAAAAGCAAATTCAACTAAAATTTGCCGCTTTCCAGTTGCGCAGCGACTTTTATTTTGTTAACTGGTTTCATAAAGCTGTTGCCAAAACTCAGCTGCTGCTGCGGTTTGTGACCGAGGAAACGCATGATGCTGCTGCTGCTGCTGCTGCCGCGGCAACAGATGCTGCATCAACTGCAGCAGCAGCAGAGTAAATTGGTAATTTGCAATTAATTTGTTGTCGGTTTAATGCGCATTTAATGCACAAATCGTTGATTAAAGCTGTCAGATGAAAGCTCATTTGAGCGTTTAGCTGTGGCTAATGGTCTGGCACGCCCACAAAAGCCGCCTATAGCAGCAACCGCAGCACTAATATCTATGCATAGGATAAAACACACCCACATTTATTGTCAAGCCTGCGGCCGTTAAATGGCCAAAATGCCAAATCGTTTTCTTTTATATGTTTATTTTTGTGTTGTATTTTTTACTCGTCTTTCTGCTTCTTCTTGCAGGCAATTAAGGAAGTAATTTGTGGCCAAAGTTGTTGCTGTTGTTGTCGTCGTCGTCGTTGCAAGATCATCAGCCAGCAGCCGTCATGAATGCAACCACATGAAACGTCGGCTGTTGAAGCGTCAACAGCAATTGCCATAATTGCCATTGGAGCAGCAAAACATACACCAAACACACACTTACACACACATACACAAGCACACACTCACACACCTTCACAGACATCCCAGAGCTGCAGGCAAGGAGTCCAATAACCGCACCACAAGCTAAAACTCGCCACACGAGATATTCGCGGCAGGCACAAAATCGAAAACCAATTGCCAGCAGCAGCGGCTCCTTCATCCGAATTGTAACAGCGTCAAGCGTGGAGCGTCGGGCGCCGGAAAATCCCCAAAGCCAAAAACAAAAAATAAATAAAATAGAAATAAAAACGCAGCAGCAAACCCGTGGAGTGGGGATCAATGAACGCGGCACGCAGCAGCTGCCAGCAACAACAACAACAACAACAACAGCAGAAGAAAAGCGAAACGGGCCAGCAATTGGCTTGGCAACGTTCAAGTTCAAAATCGCCATAACAACAACAACAGCAACAACAACGATTGCAACTGCAACAAGCAGGAAGTTGCACAGCTGCACCTTAATTGGGCGCAGTGTCATTAGCACCACATCCACAGACACAACCACACACGCTCATCCCCGCTCAATGTAAAATGTTAGTGACCAACAAGAGCCACCACAACAGCAACAACAGCAACAAGAACAGGAGCAGTAGTTGCCACTGCAATTGGTCCCGTCTGAAGCTCAGTCTGCTGCTCATTAGCTGCCTGCTCTATGATGTCCAGGTTGAAGCCTTGGCGCCCAGCTCAACGGTATCGTCCGCCCTGTTAACGGGCCAACAGCTGGCGCCATGGCAAACCACAGCCGCCTTTGCCACCCAGACGGCAGCTGCCACAGCGGCGCCCACAGCGCGTAATCTGTATGCGCCGTATCAGACCTTTAGCCAGCAGGATGATGTCAGCTTTAAGGATGTGCGCCAGCGCAACGATGGCAGCCTGGTTCAATCCTTTGGTTCCTATCGCACGGCGCGTCAATCGACGGCTGGTGCCGCACAGCGTCGCTCCGATGTTGAGATCATTCCGGCGCCCAGCGTGGAGCTGCCCCAAAGCGAGCTGATAACCATACCCAAGCAGTTGGTGCCCACGTTGCCGGAGAATGTGACGCGTCAGGGACGCAAACGCAACTATATGTACATACCGCTGCAGCCGGAGGCGGATACAAGCGCTGCCGCATCGCTACTCCAGCTGCGACCCAGTCGCAATGCCACGCTGTCCGCGCTGGGGCCACCAGCCGAAGGCATTGCCGCAGTGGCACATGAATTTGGCGCCGAGCTGGCAGATCAGGCAGAGCAGCAACAACAACAGCAAACCCCACCGGAACGCACCGAGCGCAGCGATTTGGTGGCTGCGGCCAGCTCCACGGACAAGCTGGAGTATGCGGAGCCGGAGCATACCAGCCGGCGGGTGGGCTTTCAGTTTCCCAGCTACAGTCTGAAACCGTCCAATCCGTTTTACCCGCAGGCCTATCGCGAGGACAGCCCCATCTTCGAGGAGAATATCGGGGGCGGCGGCTACGATCCGCAGCCCTACAGCGACGATGCCGCGCCCACACAATACGAGACGCACGAGACGCGCCACACGCGTCAATTGTACTTCGACTCGGATGTCTCGCCGTCCAGCTTTGAGTTTCCCGGTTTGGTGGCCAACTCCAAGCCGCACACACTGAATGCAGCTGTGGCGGCGGGTAAACATTATCGCGATGATGTCACCAAATTTGGCGATATCAATGGACCCATCACCGCAGTGCCGGGCCGTTTGCAGCGCGGCCTTTACTTTGGCGATACGGAATTCCGCACCGGACCCAGTCCCATGCGGCAGTTTGGGCCGCAGAAGGCGTTCAATGAGTATGTGGCATCCGGTGACTATCAGAGTTCACGCAAGAGTCGTTATTTCCCATACAAATCTTCACGCAGTCCCAGAGTTGTGTTCCCCAGCAATGATAATGTCGGCACCACCGGGCCGAGTGGCTCCAGCGCACCATCCGGTACGGGAGTCTACTTTAGTGACAATATTGCTTTCAGGTGAGTTGATAAAGCCCTAATAAGATCTTAGATAGGACTTCAGTAAAAATCATTTGAGACATTTACGGATGGAGTTTCAGTTTTGTGTAATGCAAATATGATCCAGAGTAGAAATATTGTTAAGAAAAAAAATAAAAGGAAACCAAAATTTCGATGGGTTAGAGACAGAAAGAGAGAGAGAGAGATAAATTGCTCTTGATTATTCAGTGTTGGTTAAAATCTTAAGCTTAGCTTAGTCATTTAAGTATTGATAACCAAAGAGAAAGTATCTTAAAAGGAACGACATAATCAGATTTCTCCTATTACCAGATAACTCAATATCTTTTTGGTTTTTTTCTCCATAGAGATCAAAACTTTGGCATTAACGAACTGGCAGCCGTTCAGGATGTGCGCAACGATTTTAGTCTACAAGATTTGGATAGCGCAGCTGAGGCCACCAGCAGCCCCCAATCGGCTAGCACATTCAAGGAGAAAGGTAAGCGTCAGGGTCTGTAGCTCAGAGCCCGTTTGCTTTTTTCGCTAGGTTAAGCTTCAGTTAGTGTTGCTGCTGGGAACTGCTTGCACTAGGCCTAATTCTCCCAAAACGAACACTACTTAACACACCAACCCTCAACCAAAATCACACACACACACACACACATATACACACACACACACCACCACATGTTGCTCATCTACATACATGAATTCCCCAACCATTTGACAGTCGACACCACAACGGACATGGAGTGCCAGCATCGCGGCGGTACTTGCGAGTTCTTTTTAGGCTGCTGGATATCCGGCGGCCTCATACAGGGCACCTGCAATGGATTGCTGCGCGGCTGTTGCCATCGCACGGCCAAATCGGCCAATTTGCGCAGCTCGGACTATGTGGGCAATACGGTCGATCTGACCGATCTACCGCAAAAGAACTTTGGACCGGTCAACAACGAACCCAGTGAGTGTGGCTGCCTCAACAACAACAAATACAAAAAAACAACTACAAGTCCATGCACGTGCACACTAAAAACAACAACAATTATTTAGTTTACACAACCGTCCAGCTTGCTTTATGGACTAAATCGAAAAGCTTTTAAAAGAAATGTTAAATCATAAGAGATCATTTCTTAAATATCCTTGCAGAAGCACATATAAGGAAATTCATAACTATATTAAGAGCTTGGCAGTAAAGAAATCTATATAGTTAACTTATTTAAACTAAGCCTGGGCTCAAACTAAGCTTGCCCGGGCAAGCACTAAAAAATTGTAAGGTAGTTGGCTTTGAGGGCTTAAATATTTTTATGAGAGAGAGCTCTAGGTTTTATCCCATTTTCTTTAACTCTTTACCAATTTAAATGTTTGGAATACATAAAAAAAATAGAATGGTTTGTTTTGGACTTTTTAGGAGCAAAAAGATTTACATATTTTTGATAGAGTGTTTCCAAAGCAGCTATATACTAAGGCAAAACTCGAATTTTTTTAACTTAATATAATATTTTTGTGACAAAGGAAAGAAAAATATTTGTAGGATCATCTGTGTCTAGTTTTATTATATATATGTTCTAATTTCCCAATAATTATAAAGCTCTCTGCAAGGGTATTCGTTAGACGAAATATTTTATAAATATGTTTTTGCATGCCTAACTAAAATAATTTGATGTAGTAACTGCGTTTTGTTATGCCTATTTGCTTTGTTTTTTGTTTATAATTTCGTATATGATTTATTTACTTAGTCTAGCATTTGCGCACCATGTTTGTAGCTATATTGTCTAGTTTGGGTGCTTAAACTGCAAACTCATTGTAAGTTGAAAAAAACACGCTACTAAAAACGCATCGCACAATTATTAAAGTGGGCGAATGAAATGACTGCCAAGTGCAGTCTGTGGGGGGAAAACAGCAGAGGAAAAACCTTTTGCCCAGCATGAGCATGTTTATTACCAGAGCTAATGACAATTAAGCCACATTTAAATATCATTTAACGGCATGCCGCCAGTGAGCTCCATGTTTCAACCAACCAACAAAAAAGTGACTAGAAAGTTAACGCTTCACCAGCCCGCACGCACCACCCAGCCCACCACCACCCCCTCTCACATACACACAACGCAACCACAACGAATTGCGGGCAGTTCCAAGCGGCGTTTTTTTTTTTTTGTTTTTCGGGCTTCATTTGGTTTGCGAGTTCCACTTGCCTCAAGCTACACTCACCTTAACGCTGCTCTCACCCTGTTGCTAGTTGCTACCACTAACTCTTTGTGCTGTTTTTATTTGTTAACCTTTGAACTATCTAACCCGCCACACTCTGTGCGTCTGTTTCTCCCTGTCTCTCTCACTCTCTTGCTCTCGCAGGTTGCGGCATTTCGCTGGCTAAGCAGACCGCACAGCGTCGCATTGTGGGCGGCGATGATGCCGGTTTTGGCTCCTTTCCCTGGCAAGCCTACATACGCATCGGCTCATCAAGGTAAGCATAATAATTGGCTACCCCGCAGCCAGCTCATAATTTGTGGCTGTTGCAGATGCGGAGGCTCGCTGATCTCGCGTCGTCATGTGGTCACCGCCGGTCATTGTGTGGCACGTGCCACGCCCCGTCAGGTGCACGTCACGCTGGGCGATTATGTCATCAACTCTGCCGTTGAACCGCTACCAGCCTACACCTTTGGCGTACGACGCATCGATGTGCATCCATATTTCAAGTTTACGCCGCAAGCGGATCGCTTTGATGTCTCCGTTCTGACGCTGGAGCGGACCGTGCACTTCATGCCGCATATAGGTAGAGCAAAACCTGGACTAATCATCTCTAGACCTTCACTGACACCCACTTTGCCCTTTCAGCGCCCATCTGCCTACCCGAGAAGAACGAGGACTTTTTGGGCAAGTTTGGGTGGGCTGCCGGCTGGGGCGCCCTGAATCCCGGCTCTCGACTACGTCCGAAGACACTTCAAGCTGTCGATGTCCCTGTGATTGAGAATCGCATCTGCGAGCGCTGGCATCGCCAGAACGGCATCAATGTGGTCATCTATCAGGAGATGCTCTGTGCCGGCTATCGCAATGGCGGCAAAGACTCGTGCCAGGGCGACTCGGGCGGTCCGCTGATGCATGAAAAAAATGGCCGCTGGTATTTGATAGGTGAGTGCGGGTCCCGGTCATATAATTGAGCACCTAATGTAAGCTGTGTTGGGTCTTTGCAGGTGTTGTTTCGGCGGGCTACTCCTGCGCCTCGCGTGGTCAGCCGGTAAGTGTTTATACCCTAGAAACCCAAAAGCTAATAAGAGGAAGGGGCGGATAACCGATCCGCCTAACTTTTTCCTAACGTTTCTTTTTCAAACATAATCGAACCTAATTTTGTTTAACCTAACCAAACTTTTTCCTTTTGCAGGGCATTTATCATCGTCTGGCCTATACGGTGGACTGGATATCCTATGTGGTTGGTCTGACAGCCAACATTTAAGCTATGCAACTTGTGTCTTATTTATTCTTAAGCCCAGCTTCAACTCCAGCTTGCAGCAAGCCCGCAAACATTTTGTACATAATTCACTTCTACAGCTACGGCTTCTATCGAGACTTTCGCATTCTTTTTATCTTATTTATGCATATTTTTAATAATTTTCAACAAATTTCGCGCAGCGCCCCACAAACAAAAATTCTATTATAATAAAAGAAGAAGAGGATACTGCGTATATTAGAACTTAGTAGCTACAAGATATCGGTTGGAATATCTATGGGGATATCATTTGGGATATCTGTTAAGCGATTTTCAAACTAAACTTTAAATTAATTATTAATTAATTTACTTAGTCATATGCGCTGTTACGTAATTTTAAACTATTTATGAACTAATTGTGTGTAAATAAATTATGTAAATGTTGAAAAAAAGCTCGTTGGATATTATTATTTAATTATTATATATACTCAACATTTATCGACTATTTGAATTGTTCTTGCTGTTTATTGCTTGAAGGGAAAGCGAGGCAAATATAGCGGCGAATATGGCAGGCCAGAGGCATAGGCATGCTCCGCATCCTGGCAAAATTGTGCGCTACGCAAGGCCTGCTCTTGCATGACCCGAAATAGGGTAAAGACCTCATGATAGATTTTATAATAGATCACTGTACACAGGCGCACATTTTACTGGGAGTATGGGTATAGATAACTTTCAAATGGGACTTACCTAGCACAAGGGCGAAGACCAGCAAACACATCAAAAAACTGGACAGATCTATAAATAGGCCAGCCATGGCATAGAATATACCCATATACAGACCAAATCCGAACACAACGCCGTGATATATCAACCAGGGATACAGCAGGCTGCTCGAATCCTGTAAAATAAAGTGAATATTCGTTAAAATGGGATTGCCAAGGTTTATACTAGTTGGAACTATATCAAAGTCTCTATATATTAAAAGAAATATAATTCATTGAAAATATTTACAATGGAGATAACCTATCTAGTAAGATTTCTCAAGCAGAATCATTACGCAAATTAAAAGAACTAGTATGTTCATGATAAATTTACAATGAACATGCATAAAAATACCCCTCAACATGTCCCTCAACCGAGCCAGCTTTTTCAAGCTCTTATACTCACCCGAGCCACACCAATGAGCAGCAACAGGCTGACGCCCAAGTTAATCAAAGACATGCCATAGGCGACTGTACTAAATGCAGCCAATACTAGGGATGCACAGATATATAGAAGATATATATAAAAATGGAATGGAATAGTTTGGTATAGTTACGATTCATTAGGAGCTGCATTTCCTTGTCTGTGACCTGGTTTAGCAGCACTTGTTTAATCAGCAATTCGACATCGGTTTGCATGTTTATGATCATCATGGAGCTAAAGATCATCACGCTTGATATGATGACACCCAGCCAGCCTATAATAATGGCATTATACTTTAGATTCTGGCACTGCACATACGCAATGCTGCTGGCATGTGCGGCAGCGATTCCCTGGGTGGCAGCTTTTGCTGCTTGTGGGTTGCAAGCCATCTTTATTTAATCAAAGCAAATAAACTATTTGAATTTCGAATCGGATTATATTTAAAAAAAAAAAAAAAATATGTATATATATTTTTTATGTGTACGTAGAACTTGTTTAAACGGAAGCAAAAGTGTTTGTGGAGATTTGTAAGTTTTTGGGGTTTTTAAGGTTTTTGAGTTTAGTGTGGTTTTTGTAGGTTTTCAGTTTTTGTTTGTTTAATGACAAGCACCAAAGTTGACAGTCCGGCGAAACGCCTGCTGCGCACAAAAGTTGAAATATATTTCAGCAGCATTTTTGATATGCTAATATCCGCGGCAGATCAGTGGCAGCATCATCAATAAGAGTTTACTTTTTAGAAAGTTACATAAAAGAATGTCTTCCCCGCCCCCCTCCCCTACTTCTGACACGCAGTTAACCCAAAAAAGAGCAGCTACAACCTTGTGCCAGGGCAGAACTGCTCCCATTTCCCATAGAAAAGCAAAATATGTTGCATGCAAGCAGCTCGGTTTTTGTTGTTGCTCTTCTTCTTCTTGTTGTTGCAATTATGTCGCATAAAATAATTATAAGTCGACCTGATACAAACATTTCCTGCGTTTCGTAATAATTAGACAGACGTTGCATTTGAGAACTAGCGCCCAAGATCAAGATGTGCCAACCAGTTGGCGAGCAGAAGCTCACGCCAAGCACCAAGCTTCAGCCAAAGTCGAGACTTCAGTTTGATTCTGGCCAGCATTGCGTGCGGTTGTCGTTGTAGCTGCTGTGGCTGCTGCTGTTGCCTTTTTAGCCAATTCTCGCGGCGCGTTTTCTGTGTTTGAGACATGCCACAATTGGCAGCATGTGTGAAACTTTGTGTGCTGCGTGTGGCTGCAATTGAAAATTGTGCCAGCAGCTAATGCATTGACACAGTTATTATTTAAAAAGGCGTCTCTTAACCCATTTAGCTTAAGAACTCGTTGCGACAAGGACACAAGCAGCTTTGAAGCTAGCCGCCAGCTGTGTGTGAATCAGCCAGAAGAATCACCGAAGAAGAAGAACAACAACAACAAAAGCAGCCACAAAGAGCAGCAAAAGTGGAGCAGCAAAAATAAAAAAAAAATAATAAGAAATCTTAGTAGAAATAAGAGCGCGCTGGCAGCTCGAAATGGTAAAGCAGAAGATGGCAGCAGCAACAACAAGACCAGCAGACACCACAAAATAGACGACATAAAAGTGAATAAGAAATTGTCATGCTTTCATTAACAGCAACAATAGCAATAATAACAACAACAAATCAACAACAATTAAGCGAAAAATAAATTTAGTTGTCAGCAAATTGTGTTAAACGCCCACAAAACAAAACAGTGACTGTGACTGCCAACTAGTGACTCTGTGTACAGAAAAACTGTGACTCGAAATGCGGCATTCATGTAGCCAAATGCTACTATTGTGGCTCTGCCTCCTGCTCTGCCAACTAGCGCCGCTGCAGGCCAGTAAGTAAAGCCAATCCTCGCCAGAACCTTGCTAATGCTTCATACGCAACAGGTATACTCAATACCCTGCTGGGCGTGCCCGCCGAGTGTGTGCATCAGAGCGGCGTCTGGCCTTGCAAGCTGAGCTTCTCCTGCTGGCTGCAGGGCGGCAAGCATGCCAAGGGCTGTGGCAGCAACAAGTGGCTATTCAGCTGCTGTATTGCCGAGCCGCATCAGCATCAGCATCAGCATACGCATCAGTCACCGCTGGAGAATCTAGTGGACTATGGCAAACTCAAGCTGGGTCTGAATAGTCTGCCCAAACGCATTATGTTGCGGCGACGAGATGATAACGAGCTGCTCAATCTGAAGGTAAGTGCTTCGGGCTGCTCCAATTGAGCAATTACACTGCACAACATGGGTAGAGAAAATACAGCGTGAAACATATCCATGATTATCATCCATTAGTTGGACAGACTTTTATTTATACACATCAATAGCATAACTAGAAAAATAGAGAGCGGGTTTTAGTAAGAAGTTGCCTTGCAAGGCCCCTGTTCTATCTGTAAACTGTAAACATAATTTTTCAAGCCATTTCCTGTGTGCAATTTCTCATAAATGTCATATTCTATGCATCCATGGCAACAAAAAAAAAGTACTTTATATTATTTATTGAATATCAAAACTTTACCCACACAAGCTATAATTGAGATTGTGTAAGCGTTCTTTAAGCATTGTTGGCACTTTTAGAAATACCGTAATTATCCTTTTGTAGTTTCTAAGAGGTCATTTCAAAAGTCATCAAGTGCACAGCGTGCGAGCCATGTTAACAATAAGACAATTGAGATAATTAATTATGGAAAAACTGGTTTTATGATTTTTTGTTTTGTTGCACTCTCTGTGAAAACTGTGTGCCCAATGCCCTTATTAATTATGCTGCAGAGTATTTACTAATCTGTTGTTCTGTTCTGTTCTAGCCCGAGTGTGGACTGCCGCGCATGGCACAGAATACGCTGCAGAAGCGCATAATAGGTGGACGGCCGGCACAGTTTGCAGAGTATCCGTGGCTGGCGCATATACGCATTGCGGAGTATCAGTGCGGAGGAGTGCTGATCTCGGCTAATATGGTGGCGACGGCAGCGCATTGCATACAGCAGGCACAGCTACCAGATATAACCGTGTATCTGGGCGAGCTGGACACACAGAATCTGGGCCACATACAAGAGCCGCTGCCCGTGGAGAAGCACAGTGTGCTGCAAAAGATAATACATCCGCGCTTCAACTTTCGCATCACGCAGCCGGACCGCTACGATCTGGCGCTGCTTAAGCTGGCCCGCCCGACGGGTTTCAGCGAACACATCTTGCCCATATGCTTGCCACAGTATCCCATACGGCTGGTGGGACGCAAGGGTTTGATCGCCGGCTGGGGCAAGACAGAGGCGCATATGGGTCATGCGGGCACCAACATGCTACAGGTGGCCAGTGTGCCAATCATTTGTAAGTACAGTGAGTACTCTATATGAATAAGCATAATCTGACAGTCTTAAATCTAAACCACAGCCACCTTGGAGTGCATTCGATGGCATGAGAGCAAACAGATCAGTGTGGAAATCAAATCGGAAATGTTCTGCGCCGGTCACTCCGACGGGCATATGGACGCGTGTTTAGGTAAGAGCTGACAAAATTTCCGCTGCATAATTTTAGGCTGCGCATTAACAGCGCGCTGTTAAGCCGTTAATAGAGGCGCGGTTAACATGATTATGAGAAATGAGATGTTAACAGAGCGGAAACTAACAGAATTGTAGGGAATTTCAAAAGGTTTGTTTGTGGGAAATGCTTTCGAAATTTCAGGATAAGCAAATTGAGAAGACACACGCGTATTCCTTGGCAAACAGTTTCTCAACTTAATTTAAAGTACAACCCCATAATCGCCTCAAAGAGTTCTCCAGATCTGTAACTTGCCACAAAGAATATTTAACGTATTCGCTAACTATTTCAAGCATTTTTAGCAAAACTAATAAATGACAACTTGAGATATATACGTAGTTTATATAATCTGCTAAGCTAATTACATTACTTACAGGCGACTCTGGCGGTCCGTTGGTCATCAAAGAACGGGGTCGATTTGTGCTCGTGGGCATAACCAGCGCCGGCTTTGGCTGCGGCGTGGATCATCAACCGGGCATCTATCACAATCTGCAGAAGAGTCTGCGCTGGGTGGAAGACGTCGTGGCGCACAATGAGCTATAGCCAAACAAATGGCAGACTGAAGCGACAGCTCCCCGGGGATGTGACACGCAATCTCATTAGTTTATGGCGTCTAGCATTAAGCAATGGCCTGTGCAATGACAACAACGGCGGCAACAAAAACAATCATCAACATGAAAACGAAATTACAAATTACAATTTATTAGATTTATTAAATATTATTATGTAGCTAATGTAAGTGGGTGTAGTTGCCTTTTTTGGGTGCTCAGGTGGGTGTGTGGCACAATGAACGACCTTGAACGATGGCTGCAACTGTGCATTTGGAATTTTGAATTGAATTACGCACTTTTGCAACACGTACAACAAAATTTACTTTGTTATGTCATTTGGCATTCGTTGGCGCTGGCGCTGGCCCATTTCCCATTTAGTGTTCGTTGGTGCTGCCATAAATGGCACAATCAACCGCTTTCAACTCAACAGCAACAGAAACAATCAACAGGCAACCAGCGACAGCGACAAAAACAACGAACAGCAAATAATAATCATAATTTGTACATTAAACACATTAGGATTGGGCCAAGTCAAAGACTCGACGAGTGTCATCTGCCAATTGCCCAATACTAGTACTTAAATTGTGTTACGTTTGTTTTGAATACCCTGTGAGCACAAAATTGTGAGCGAGGGCATGATGATCGTGCATAAAATCGAAGTTTCTTAAATGTGTTTGAAGCTAAGTTGTGTATATTTATATACAAAATTTGATAAATATCGATATCGACTCTGGATCTTAAGATACGTAATGGATTATAGTAGCTAATTACATAATTGGGAATATAAATTGGTTCAAAGAGGAATGTACTAGATTTTATTTTCCTTTTTCTCTCATTTAATTTTAGAGCACCTTTACATGGTAACTGCTAGTCGAGCATGCTTGCTACGTTTTATAATTGTTATCTTTGTTTATCAATTTAATTGTGTCTCAAGTGTGTCATCAATTTTGCGGCCAATAATCAACGAAAAGTTTTCCATGAACCCCATCATCGGGCAGACTTAGCCATCAATTATTTGGGCTTTGTTCGTTTTGATGGCTTTTCAATTTTCAATGCAAGAAAATCACATTTGTTGCTGCTGTTGATTTTTCACGCATGAGATAAACTGGAAATAAGATGTTAAGCGCGTTTGGCTTTCGCTTGGCTGCCTGACTGCCGCCAGTCGTGTCTGCTGGTTTTTCCTGTTGCAATTTGTACAATTTGTTGATTTTTCGACGGCTCTTGGCTAAAATTACATTCGGCAGTCCACAAAAACCAAATTGACGGCAACATGTGAGGTGCGAGTAAAACAATTCGACTTCCTCTTTTAATTTTCTTTTAGTGTACAGCTCTAAATTTGACATTAGTCATGGCAGCAGCAGCAGCAGCAGCGGCAGCAACAACAGTTAAGCGACAGGCGACATGCAATTGCCAAGTGAGCGACAAAAGTTTTCGTCTCTGCTCAGAGGCCACGTCTTGTTTCTGTCTGTTTCTTTTCACTTTCGATTTCGATGCGAGTGTGACTCTCACACACACACACACGCCCATGCACACACATACAGTCGAGAGTCTCTGTTTCACACTCTTTGGCGTATATTACTCAATAGTCAACGTTGCGACGTCTCTGCTGCTGCTGCGGCGCTGCGTGCTGCGTGTTGGTGAGCGTGTTGATGGCCTTTTTGATTTTGAATTTGTCAGCCAACTGTTTATTAAGTGTTTTGACGTTACCGCAAACTGTTCGCAAACGCAAAACCCGCCGCAGCGCAGTTAAAACAGTTTCGGTTTCAGCTCAAAACTACAACAACAACAACGTGTAAATGCCAACAAAAGCCCAAATTGAAAGAGTTTAAAGAAAAAGTGCGTGACGCGTCGTCTGCACTCCACAAAAAGTTAAAATATAAAAAATGGTCGCAAAATATGCACCGGGAATTATTGCCAAATATTAAGCAAATTGTCTGCTGTGAATTTTATTTAATTCAATCTTAACTGCCGCCTGCTATGCAAACGCGCGATTATTCAATCAAAAACTCGCGCCGCTACGTGAATTAAGTGAAACACACAATTGCACAAAATCAGCAGACAACAAGACAGCAACAACAACAACATCAGCGGCAACAACAACAACCACAACAACGCCAGCGACAACGAAAGTATTGCAAAATGCGCGCAGTTGCATGGCTGCCGCCGCTGCCAACGTCGCTGCCGCTGCTCCTGCTGCTTGGCCAATGGCTGTGTCTGTGTCGCTGCCTCGTCGCCGCCCACGGCGGCTACAACTCCGTTTACAATGCGGTGGTCACGCCGGAGCTGAAGCAGGCCATTGACAAGGATTTGCCCAAACAGGCCAAGTTCTTCGATGAGCTCGATTGTAAGTATGCAAATTTGTTGCCTTAGTATTTTTTACAAGACTGTTTGACGAATGGTTTGACTAAAAGTAGACAAGTTCGTTGCCTAAATCTTTTGTTTTGTATAAATAGGAAAATTACCAGGCACTGTGTAGGTTTGTCGCCTGAGTCTTTTGTTTTGTATGGACAAAAATGTGCTCATTGAACAAATTGTTGTTACAAACTTAACTTCGGTTTATTTCCCAGTCTGTTGCGTCACTTATGTAACATAAATGGAGGAACATGCTAGAAAATATGCTACACTGTAATACTTTGTCGCGCAAATTCTTTACGCCCAAGTTATTCGCTTTACTAGCCACCAAGCAAGTTTGTTGCCTAAGTCTTTGGTTTACACCATCCAAATTAGTAAATAACGATTTTCTATTGGTAACACAAGAATCTGTTTTATGAGACCAACTAATTTAAAGCAAGTTCTTTGCCTAAGTCTTACGTTTTGCGAATAGTGACTTGGCAAACATGACCAACAAATTTCAATTACATAATTTGCATATTAATTAACCTTGAGCCCAGCTATCGATACGATGTCAAGTTCACATGATTCACGCTACGATTTCTACCAAGCCAAATGCGAATTAAGCCAGCGAAAGTAAACAAAACTTTGCTGGCTATACTGTTTAGTATCATATTCTTGGCGCGCCCCAGCAGCGAGCAGGCTTCATTCATCTTGTAAATGCGCATAGCTTTAATTGGACTTTCCAAAAAAAAAACTAACATAAAAACCAATTAGCTCGAGAAACGCAGGTCCAGAGTTTAAAGTTAAAACAAAAAATGTTGAGCGGTCATTATTTACACGCCGAGCCGACATTAACATATGGCCCATTCTGCGCCCCGACGAAAGCGCATAATGCTCCATTAAAACAATTAACAAATTATGAAAAACAAAAAAAGAAAGACCGGCCAGCTAGAGCTGCATATTAAAGAAAAAGATAGCCAAAACACACGGGCATAAAATCATGCGCAAATTGCAGCACAAGTTCAATGGCATTCCGCCATGTAATATAGAAAAAGCAAAAGTCTTTTTTTTTTTTTATATATACTCAAGAGCAGGAAAATCAACTGCAATTAACGACAATTGCAGCGATTGCACCGACATTCGAAAGTGTTAAACAACATATGCTATAGATTATAGATTATTTGTGCTCAGAGCTCTCAAAACGTCGCAGCTCTACCAAAAACCTTGACCAGAAAAAGAAAAAAATACGAAAGAAAAAAACCCAAATCAAAGTCAAGACTTGGTCGCTTGGCAACATGTTGCTGAGCAACAGCACATTTGCTTGCAACTTGTTGCTGTCGCTCTTTCTCTTTAGCTCTCTCGCACACACACACACACAAACACAAGCGCACACACACATGGGGTCTTCGGCTGCGCTAGTGAAATGGCGAAATGCGAGCAAATGTCTTCGGCAGCTTTAACGCAGCGCAAACACAAAACTTTGGCTTAGTTCTGAGCTGAATTTCCCGACGTGCGGTCGATATTTGATTTGCGCTGTTGCAGCTGTTAGCCCAGCTAAGTTTTGTATAACAATTTTCTTTGCGTGCGTGGAAAAACTGTCGTTGCGCATGCGTAGCTCGGCAAGAAAGTCGCTGGGCCGCTGAACGAAAATAAAAGTGAAATCCTGCTCACGTTTTAAATACTCAAATTACCAAATATACTAAATAAGTGTGGTCCAGGATTGCGACGCAGTCGAAAAGAAAGTGAACGTGAACAGTTGCTGGCTAAAAGCAAGTGTGTTTGCCCGAAAGTGAAAGTACGCATTTGTTACGTTGCGCTCCTCGACAGGAGCCAGACATGTCGCGCGCCCGAACACACACGCATTGCCACATAAAGGATAAATGGCTGAGCCTGCTGCTAATCTATGCTCTGGCGCCGAACGGCTGCAATGTTGTCTGCGCCTTGGGCTATCCGAGCGCACAGCAGGAGCACGACATGCTCATACTGGATGCGCTCTCACGACGCAGCGGCACCGGCTATTATGGCGAGAACAGCGTCATGGAAATGCTATCCAGAAGTACACGCTCCTAAACTACACCAATTGACTTTTGACTTTGTGTGTGTGTGTGCGTGTTAACTTTACTAATGCCCATTATTTTGGTGTCTTTGCAGTGATACCGCAATCGTGCCGCTTCCGTGGCCACAAATTCGAATGTGGCCTGTCCATCTCGTGCGTCTTGGGCGGCGGCAAGCCGCTGGATCTATGCTCGGGCGGCATGATCTGGTCATGCTGTGTGGACAAAGATCTCGATGCCGAGGAGAGTCCACATGCGGCGCCGGTCAACAATACAAGTGAGTAACAGTAACTTAGTTCTAATAGGCGCCCATTTCGCCCAGCTGCTAACCCTACGCCTCGCAATCCTCATCCCAACAAAGTACATTTGCCATGCTTAGTTAAATGTAGCATTTGCTGCTCTTTTACCTTACGAGCACAAATTGCAAATTGCTGCGCTTCGACTTATGCAATGCCCTGTATAATAGCGCAATAAATTAGTTCGCATTTCGAAAATGACAACAAATTGCTCGACTCTGCCAGCAAAAACACACACACACACATACACATACGTCCCCTAGGGCAGTCAAGGCAGAAGCACAACAAATGCATTACTAAATTCCATTTAATGCACTCTCAGGCAGTGGGCGCTGGAGTGGAAGGATGGGTCGTTCAGGCTATATACTCAAGCAAAACAAACTAACAAAACATCAATTTTAAATTGTTGCAGAGTTGAGCTTTGTTGATATAACTATTAGTTATGGGAAAATGTTAATTATATGATTCCGAATTGATGTCAGTTAAAGAAGAAACTTGTCTGAAAGTTTTTATGTACTAAGAATAAGCTGTTATTAAAGTAAATGAAGCTACTTATTTATCTGTGTAGCTCCCGAGCATTTAACTAAAATATTACAAGGGTTCTATATGTTAAACCGAAATATTTTGAAATATATTTCTTTTTATGACCTTGAGTTGCCAATATGTATGTGTGCTAATATTTAATATATAAATATATGACAGACGCGTGAGAAGTCTGTCTGAACATCAAATCTTGCTTAAAAAGAACAAAAATGATTAGGGAACGTTCGCTCTTTATGAGGGCAAAGAATTGAAGAAAAAAAAATTGTCTACTAAAGAAAAGCTCGCTAAAAACTTTGCATTCGTATTTCTAAAATTTGTACAAACTGGGAATAATATTGTCCATAAAAATATACTTAAAAAACAAAAATAAACAAATTTTAAATATATTTATGGTAATAAATTTCGTATTATATTTCTTATAAAATTGGTAATTAAATATGCAAAGCATAATATTCCCTAAATCGTCAAGACCCATTGCTATTATTTGGCTATTTTTTTTGTTTAACGCCTTGTCTGCCACAAGTGTACATTAAATTATTTTTTTTCTTTCGTCTTATTGTATTTTTGCACTTCACATTCTCGGCTTAAAATTGATTTTGAACAAATTCAATTACCCTGAAGTGCATTTGTTATAACGTAATCTCAGCCAGCAATGCGATGAGCTAGACTATAAGCAATAACAACAACATATTATGCCACACACATCGCAAACACACACACACACACATACACACAGTGCAGCGCACATGCCAAGCAGCTTGCTGCCATTTTGTTGTGCTCTGTTTAATTTTCTAGGCTTCTGCTGGCCAAGAAATGTGCAACAAAAAATAAAACAAAAACACATTACAACATGTTGTAAATAATTCTTAGTGGAAAATTTTTAACAGCCCAATTTTGGCCTCATTTTTTTTACATGTTTTTCTCTTTTTTTTTTGGAGGTAATTTTCGTAAAGCTCATAAAGTAGCGCGTTCTGTTTTGTCTACTCACTTTCTTTAAGGGAAAATGTGGCGCATAGTTTTTCTGGGAATTTTGATTTTTGTTATTTTAATTTTTTTGTCTGTCTGCGTGTTGCTCAAGTGTAAAATTTTCCAAAAGCCAAGCCACAGACGCGACAATGAAAAGACCCAAAAAAAAATAAGAAAAAATAAAAGTAAAAATAAAAACGGTTGCGGAAATAAACGAAGGTGAACGTTTTTTGCATTTTAAAAGTGAAATTTCACGTTGCTGCGCCTTTTGCCAGAGCCTGCATCAAGCTTTAATAAAGGTTGTTTTTTTTTTTTTTTTATTTATTTGTTTGTTTTAAAATGTGGGAAAAATCACAGAGCCCAGAGTTACGGCATTTCGTTTTATACGTTCAAGTCCAAGACGAAACTCGGCCAAAAAATGGGGGATAAAAAAAATCAGAGTGTTAATCAAGTTGCGCCGTTCTGTGGCGCTTGCAGTTCGTTTTTTCTTTTTTGGCTTTTCTTTTATTTTTTATTTTTGAATTACGTGCGAAAAATTATCTCATACGTTTGTCTTTTGTTTCTGTCATGGGCTTTGGTCAACTGGCTGTGTGTGTATGTGTGGGGTGTTGTGTGTGTGCGTGTGTGTGTGTTAGTTGTGAATTTAATTTCAACTTCATTGGTTTTGGTGACATAATAAAGTCGTGCAGGGCGCTAGCCGTAATTGGTGGCCCAGTGTTTTTATTATTATTACTTTTGCTCAAGTCTTTCACTACTTAAAACGAATCACAGCGAAAGTTGAGCTCGAATTAAATAGACCCTCTCCCCGACCCCACCTTCTCAACACACACACGTACTTAAATACCTGGCTGTGCATAGAGGAAAACTGCAACATCATCATGATTCTTACACACAGGTGACATAATACACTTGCACGACATTTATCCCGACTTGTCGCCAACTGCCAACAAGCCGGCACATCATCAACCACATCACCAGACGCAACAGCAGCACCACAGCAACAGCAACAACAACAACAACAATAACGGCCTGTCAGCGGCCTCATCAGCACGACCCGCCTATCCCAGCCACGCCTACTACAGCACAAAACGTCCATCGCTTTATAGCGGCAATCCCTACAAGCCCAGCTCCAGTTCCGGCTCCGGCTCCAGCTCATCGGTACATCGTCCCAGCGCCTCCAGCCTGAACAGCTGGGAGCACGACGCGAATCACTTAGGTATCACCAATCATCTGGATAGTTTCTTTGATGCAGATGCGCCGCCAGACAGTTCCGCCGCGACGCGTCCAACGGCAGCACATGTGCCGCAGGCGCAGCCCTTTGCCGTGGGCAATGTGCTCGATCTAAATGCGGGCGAGGCGGCGGATGAATACGAGAGTGGTGGTGGCTACAATGACGGCAGCTATCGTCCAGTGCCGGGTACTAAAACCAATTCAACTGTACCAAATATAATATCTATCTGTTATCACTCTCTCTCTCTCTCTCTCTTATTCTCATTGTTTGTTACACACACTCTCTCTCTCTCTCTATTTCTCTCTTTTGAGCACCACTGCAAGTTTTCCTTAGTATGCACCACACAACACCACTCTGAATCACCATTTTATGTAGTTGTTTTTTGCACGCACCTTGTTCTATGCATTTGCTTCAACTTATCCCATGCTCCTTGACTCTCCACAGGCTGCGGTGAGGTTTTTTCACGCACCAATCGCATCGTGGGCGGCCATTCCACGGGCTTTGGCTCGCATCCTTGGCAGGTGGCGCTCATCAAGAGCGGTTTTCTCACGCGCAAATTGAGCTGTGGTGGTGCTCTGATATCCAATCGCTGGGTGGTTACTGCCGCGCACTGTGTGGCCACGTAAGTAGACATCAAGATGAATTTAGCCAAAACCTAATCACATTTTATATGACAGCACAACTAATTCAAACATGAAGATACGCCTAGGCGAGTGGGACGTGCGCGGCCAGGAGGAGCGTCTCAATCACGAGGAATATGGCATTGAGCGCAAGGAGGTGCATCCGCACTATAATCCCGCCGATTTCAAGAACGATGTGGCGCTGATTCGACTCGATCGCAATGTGGTTTACAAGCAGCACATTATACCCGTTTGCCTGCCGCCGCCCACCACAAAGTTGACCGGCAAAATGGCAACTGTGGCAGGCTGGGGACGAACGCGGCATGGCCAGAGCACGGTGCCCTCGGTGCTGCAGGAGGTGGATGTGGAGGTCATATCGAATGATCGCTGCCAGCGCTGGTTCCGTGCAGCCGGACGACGCGAGGCCATACACGATGTGAGTTTTAACAATTACTTTAAATTAATTTCACATGAGTAACTCCTATGCTCTGCTTCTCTTAATGCCAGGTATTTCTGTGTGCTGGCTATAAGGAGGGCGGCCGGGATTCCTGCCAGGGCGATAGCGGCGGGCCGCTCACGCTTACAATGGATGGCCGCAAGACCCTCATTGGCCTCGTCTCATGGGGCATTGGCTGCGGCAGGGAGCATCTGCCGGGCGTTTATACCAATATACAGCACTTTGTACCGTGGATCAACAAGGTTATGGCCAATGACAACAATGCGTGAATGCAGTGTGCATATGCCACATGCGGCTATCACTTAATCAATTGGAAGACTGCAGTCAACCGCTTGCAGTCACCCGTTTGTCTGGCCATGTGATTCCTCTACGACTCGGGGTTGCTAGTGTTTAAGTTTAAGCTCTCAATCAGTACGCAGCTGCAAGTTATTTATTTTTTTTATTTTTGGTTGGTTTTAACCCATTCAAGATATTCCACTCAATGCGGCTACACTTTAATGTTAAGCACTTAACATTAACATATTTATTTTAACTATTCGCATAGAGTTTCATGAATTTTAACCTAAATGTATTTTAATTTAATTAATATTTAAAAACAAAATAAAAAATGTATTTAAAAAAAAAACAAAACTTTCATTTTTTCCTTGGGTTGTACTTTTCTCAATTGAAAACTTTTATGTAACCAGTAATCTATATAAAATGTTCAATTTCGTGATTTCTTATTGCCAGGAAAAATATATGGAAATTATATATATACAATATTTCTTGAAAATATTTGAAAATGCATTTTTCAAAGTTTTCCGCTTGCTTTGGCTAAGTTAACAAAAGACTTAGGACACAAACTCGCAACTGATTCAAATAAAAAGCATAGCATACTTTTGCGCGACCACAAAAATTGGTGCCACCCAACATAAAAAACACTTTACAGCAAGTTGGCAGCACTGACAGCCACAATATACACACAGTGACAACAGGTTGTGCGGCCGATTCAAATCAAATATTTAGAAAAACAAAGAAAACAAAAACCTGATAAGAACGAAAGGGAGAAGAGGTAAATAAAAGCAGTTAAATGAAAACAAACAGCAGCAGTCAGCACATCTTCCCAGAAGCACAAGTGCCACACAGACTGACTGTGGCACAGGCTGGTCAACAAACACACGCGGCATGCACAGAATTTCTAATGATGCAACTTCCGTTGTGGCAGCCACAAAAACTAAGAACCTGAGCAACAACTGTTGGAAAGTGTGTGGACATGAGTGTTTTGGTAAGTAGCTGCACGAAATCACAACAAATAACATAATCAACACAAGATTAGCTAATTAAGCGGCTTGAGTCAGCTGCCTTATCAGGCACAGTCGCAGCTTCATTGATTGTTGCGCACTCTCTCTCTCTCTCTCTCTCTTTCTCTCTCCCGCATCACAACACGCTCTCTTTCACTTTTGACTCTGTTATGCTCTTGGCATCCACAGCAAATAAATTCCACTTCTTTGTTGCGGCTTAGCCTGCTGTTTGCTCCTCTTGTCCAAAGCACTGGCCACAACTTGTTGCCTGCTTTTGGTTGGGCCCGGCCTCAGTTGCTGTGGAGCAGCGCCAGTGTCAAGGTCTCTCAAGTTCAAAGCGTTTGTTGTGCGTCGATTGCTTAACTTAAAATTAAAAAAAAAAAAATAAATAAAAACACACACTAAACAAAAGAAAATGTTATGAGCCGCGTTTTAATAATATAACCGCTAAGTAGCTGTGTATGCCAAATGCTGTGCCATCAAGCCACATTGATTAATTGTTTGATTGATTGATTGAGCGTGATTTATGCGTGTGTGCGTTGCTGTTGTTCTAATCGTTGTTATTCATTGATTGCAAGTGAGCTAAGCATAAACAGAAACAGAACGCTCAAAGCTGCTAAAAAAGTGCATTAACATAATCAAACTATGTGTGTGTGTGTGTGTTTTCTGAGAACTAAAAAGCATAGCTTAATGGGCTGCTGGCAGCTTAATTAGCAACAATTGCAGGCAATTCTTATCAGCGGCCAGCATAAGCAGGTATACAGAAAGACAAGCTAACAGCAGCGTTAATAAAGTTTGACTTTCTTAACCTGACGACGTGCATAAATTATAACACAAACACATTTCAACACACACACACAAGCGCATACAGCGTCAGTTAGTTGAACAAAGAATGGCGACAGGCTCTGTGAGCAACACTCATTTGCACCACACACCAAAAAAAAAAAAGAAAAAACAAAAAAAAAAAAGAAATATATATTAAAGAAAAAGCCACCGAGAGACTCCCAAGTTAACAACTGCGCTTCGTTGTTGTTGCTGTAGTTGTTGTTGTTGTTGTTCTTGTTGTTGTTGTAGCCGCTTCTTGCTATTTTAATGTGAAAGCGCTGTTAACCCCAAACTTCAGCTGTATTGCCCCGCAGCCTTCGCCCGCCACAGCCGCAGCTAGCATACAAATGCCGCCAATCAGCTGTGGCTGTGACAACAAGAGAGCAGCGAGAGAGTGTGCCAGCGTGTGTGTGTGTATGTGCGTGTGACTGTGTGTACGTGTGTGTGTGGCTGTTCATTTGAATAAGCAACAGCAACAACAACAACAACAGCCTCCTAGCATTTGTTGTTCTCACCATTTTGTGAACTGGCCTTAATGGAAACCGTTATGCGCCAAGCTTCAACTAGCGTCGCTGCCGCAGTCGCTGCTCGCGTCGCCGTCAGCATCGCCCGGCTACGCATGCGCACATGTTGCGGCTCTCCATATGAGTGTGCGTGCGTGTGTGTGTGTGTGTGTGTTTGTTGCCTCTTCAGCTACTACCAATTTAGCTTTGTCGTTCTTCAGCGCTTTGCGCTGCGCTGTCGCAAAATCTCAGCAAACAGCCGCAGCGACGTCGACGGCGACTGCGACGCCAACGTTCGCGTCGGAGTTTGTCTTTGGCTTTGGCTGGCTTCAACTGGCGTGTGGATCTTTTGTATGCGCGCTTCTCTCCAGACGTGCGCAACTCAACGCGGTCTTTGGCTCCTCTTCGTGCTTCGGCAACGACTTGCTTCGCCTTACGGTTACGTCGATTCCGTCTGTGCGCCGTCGCGTCTGTGTGTGTGTGTGGCGCGCGCGTGTGTGTGTGCGTGCGAGTGTGCCTATAGAACTTGAGTTATTGGCCTCAAATTGGCTTGGCCAGTGCGTAGCTGCATAGCAAAAAGTTGAAAAGTTTTGCCGCAAAGTAAACAAATTATAATCCTGAAACACAAGAGTTTAAACAGTTTCTTTGTTTTTTTTTGTAAATATATATACTAGCTATATATATATCTACATTTTTTGGGCCTAAAACAAAAGTCAGTCTGGGAGAAAGAACGCGAGAGAGGAAGCGAGAGAACGCAATCAGCAACAACACACAATACAAGCAGCGTGAGTGTCAAACAAAAGCCAAATGTGAAAAAACTCATAAAAAAATATAAGAAACTAAAAAAAGCCGCAAGAACTCTAACAGCAGACACATAATTCCAACAAAAACAAAATACAATAATAACAGTGCTGGCAGCAAATTAAAAGAAATGACCCCAAAATAGTTGACAGTGAAGTTGATCTACAGTAAAAACCCAAATAAACAAAAAGCAAGCAACAAAAAAAGATACACGCAAGTAAATGCAAAAGATACAGACCCCAAAAAATCTTTAGATGCGCGCGCACCGTTGCTGTGTGTGTGAGTGCGAGTGTGTGTGTGCTTAAGTAGCTGCAGCGCACTTTCTACCACGTACAAGTCAATTAGAGGCACACACACTCACACACACACACAATAGTTGCGCATAACTGCAACTAACTGCAACAGCAGCAGCAGGCAACAGGCAGCAAGTTGCTGCAAAACAAGAGCAGGCGCAACAACAAGTTCAAGCGCCTTGATTTTGATCAACGGCCAAAGCCAAACGAGTCCAAAGCAAAAGTTGCCTTGTGCTGCAAAATTTTTATTGAAATTCCTGTTAAAAGCAACAACAGCAACAAGAACAACAAGCGGCAGCTACAAGAGGCAAGTGTTTCAATTGCCGCAGCAGCCGCAGCCGCAGCAGCCAACGAGACACAAGAGCAAAAACTTCTTTTTGGAACTGGTCTGCTAGCTGTTCTTGTTGTTGTTGTTGTTGCTGTCGCTTGGCTTTGACTTTGGTCTAAAATGCAGAGGCTCCAACGGCTGCCACTGAGCGAACTCCCCCCATTGGCAGCAGGCAGCAGGCAGCGGCGCGCCTTTAGCATTATTTGCATTTCTGCTTATTCTGGTTTTGCCAGAGATGACGAGAGGCTCAAAAGCTGCACCAGAAGCTGTAACTGGAGCTGCAGCAGGAGATGTTGCTGCTGCTGCTGCAGATGCTGCTGCTGTGATTATACGCCCCCCAGTTGCTCCGTTTAAGTCCATGTTAATTATAATAATTTGCGTGCGGCAAAAGCAATTGAGAAATTTTGTCGTAGCAAGTTTGTGCCCTAAGTCTTTTGTTTGTGTGCGTGTGGCGTGGCGTGCCTTAACTTGGCTTTCTAGAGCTAACTGAACTAATGAACTCCCGCATCCCGCAGCTAGCAATAGACAGCACACAAACACAAACACATACACATATACACGCACAGTGCCAACACGTTCGAATTTCTCCAAAGCCGTTTTTGGTTAGCAGCAACAGAAATGAAAGCCAAGTTGAGGCAGCAAAAGTGGACGCACTTCTGGTTTTGATTATGTGCGCTACCAAATATCAAATGGCATAATTCTTTTGTTCGTCTGCCGCTGCTTCCTCTTCTCGTTTTATTTGGCTAATTTGATATGACAATATTATGCTTTCTGCATGCATTTCACTTTTCTTTTAAACAAATATACATATATAGATATAATATGTATATATTCATATGGCCCAGGCGAGTGAGTGAGAAGAGCTGCCATATAAAAAGTACAATTTGTGTGGCTTTCGCTTTTATTTAAGGCAAGTGTTATACACATGCACACACACACACACACACACACACAAATGCCTTTTTAATAAAAAACAAACACACAAAATAAAAGTTCCCTCAGAAAAAAAAACTTGTAATTTCACTTTTAACATGTCGAGTGGAAATAAACATCAAATTTTTATTTGCCCAAGTGGAAATTACTTAATTGTTTTCAGGCAACGCCTCCACTCCAACAGCGAAAGAAAAATAAAATCATGCAAATCATCTGTGTGTGACCCAGTTTAAAGATATTCTGCGACTCACGTGCGTCTGTCCCGCCGACTGAACGACTGGTTTATCGACAGTAGCCACAAAATTCATGTTAATTTGCACATTTCTCAAAATGGAACGCGAATACAATTACACGCATCTGATATTTATATGGCGAGTCAAGAACGTGACCCAAATACACAAATAGCCGTCCGGCCAAACACACACAATGGCTGTTGTGTGCGCGGCGATATTTGTGTGCTGTGTAGATAACTTCAATCTTCAATCTACAAATCTCTCAAATTTTGATGCTGAGCTGCAA